CTATTTCCACCATATATTTTGTTTTAGGGTTTTTATTTTTATTTTTTCTCTTTTCTGAGAGATTTTTTCTTTTAACTTTTGCCATTGGTAGAAGTTATTTTTTAAGTTATTCCGAGATAACTTTTTTTATTCGGATAAGGATGGAATTTAAGGGGGATGGCTTAAATTTGATCTCATTCTCTCCTTGCGACTTCTGCTTCGTTAGTTTCCTCCGAAGCGTGCCATTTTTTAACTTATTAGACTAAAAATAAACCATATGAGCATTGAAAAGGTTGTATAATCTTTAAATTAAAAGGGTTATATTTTTAAAGAGCTACCGTATCCGATATTGCATGAGGGAGATGACGATGAGGCAAGGGAAAAAAAGAGGCTCTTTTATTCGAGTGGCAGCTTCTCTTATTCTATTACAGGAACCCGCCATCTACCCGCAGCAGATGGCGTTGTTCAGGCGGCGCAACAAGACAACTTTGATGCGCAGAGGTCTCCTGGAAGCTCAGATGCCTCATTTCCGTCGGACGCGATCTCGTCCTCACGCCGCAGCAGCGCAAACGCAGCCATCACGGCGGCCTCTTTCTCCTCTCCTCTGCTCCTCGTACTGCTCCTCGCAGCGGCGGCGGCACTGCTCCTGTCGGTGGGGGTCCTGTTCTTGCCTCCGGCACTGCCTCTGGCACTCCTGGAGCTGCTCCTCGGGGTCTTCTCTCCTGAGTTCCTTGATCACTTGGCCACGGCGGCGCTCTTCCCTCTCCTTCTCCTCCCGGTACTGCTCCTCGCAGCGGCGGCGGCACTCCTCCTGCCGGCGGGGATCTTGGGCCTGCCTCCGGCACTCACTCTGGCACCGCTGGAGCTGCTCCTCTGGATCCTCTCTCCTCGCCTGGTTCACATCCTCCCGGCGGCGTCGCTCTTGCCTTTCCTTCTCCTCCCGGTACTGCTCCTCGCAACGGCGGCGGCACTGCTCCTGCCGGCGGGGATCTTGGGCCTGCCTCCGGCACTCACTCTGGCACTGCTGGAGCTGCTCCTCCGGGTCCTCTCTCCTCGCCTGGTTCACATCCTCCCGGCGGCGTCGCTCTTGTCTTTCCTTCTCCTCCCGGTACTGCTCCTCGCAGCGGCGGCGGCACTCCTCCTGCCGGCGGGGATCTTGGGCCTGCCTCCGGCACTCACTCTGGCACTGCTGGAGCTGCTCCTCCGGGTCCTCTCTCCTCGCCTGGTTCACATCCTCCCGTCGGCGTCGCTCTTGCCTTTCCTTCTCCTCCCGGTACTGCTCCTCGCAACGGCGGCGGCACTCCTCCTGCCGGCGGGGATCTTGGGCCTGCCTCCGGCACTCACTCTGGCACTGCTGGAGCTGCTCCTCCGGGTCTTCTCTCCTCGCCTGGTTCACATCCTCCCGGCGGCGTCGCTCTTGCCTTTCCTTCTCCTCCCGGTACTGCTCCTCGCAACGGCGGCGGCACTGCTCCTGCCGGCGGGGATCTTGGGCCTGCCTCCGGCACTCACTCTGGCACTGCTGGAGCTGCTCCTCCGGGTCCTCTCTCCTCGCCTGGTTCACATCCTCCCGGCGGCGTCGCTCTTGCCTTTCCTTCTCCTCCCGGTACTGCTCCTCGCAGCGGCGGCGGCACTCCTCCTGCCGGCGGGGATCTTGGGCCTGCCTCCGGCACTCACTCTGGCACTGCTGGAGCTGCTCCTCCGGGTCCTCTCTCCTCGCCTGGTTCACATCCTCCCGTCGGCGTCGCTCTTGCCTTTCCTTCTCCTCCCGGTACTGCTCCTCGCAACGGCGGCGGCACTCCTCCTGCCGGCGGGGATCTTGGGCCTGCCTCCGGCACTCACTCTGGCACTGCTGGAGCTGCTCCTCCGGGTCTTCTCTCCTCGCCTGGTTCACATCCTCCCGTCGGCGTCGCTCTTGCCTTTCCTTCTCCTCCCGGTACTGCTCCTCGCAACGGCGGCGGCACTGCTCCTGCCTGCGGGGATCTTGGGCCTGCCTCCGGCACTCACTCTGGCACTGCTGGAGCTGCTCCTCCGGGTCCTCTCTCCTCGCCTGGTTCACATCCTCCCGGCGGCGTCGCTCTTGCCTTTCCTTCTCCTCCCGGTACTGCTCCTCGCAGCGGCGGCGGCACTGCTCCTGCCTGCGGGGATCTTGGGCCTGCCTCCGGCACTCACTCTGGCACTGCTGGAGCTGCTCCTCCGGGTCCTCTCTCCTCGCCTGGTTCACATCCTCCCGGCGGCGTCGCTCTTGCCTTTCCTTCTCCTCCCGGTACTGCTCCTCGCAGCGGCGGCGGCACTGCTCCTGCCGGCGGGGATCTTGAGCCTGCCTCCGGCACTCACTCTGGCACTGCTGGAGCTGCTCCTCCGGGTCCTCTCTCCTCGCCTGGTTCACATCCTCCCGGCGGCGCCGCTCTTCCCTTTCCCTCTCTTCTCTGTACTGCTCCTCGCAGCGGCGCTCGCACCGCCGTCTCTCCTCCGGCTGGCGGCGCTCCTCCTCGCCGCACCGGCGTTGACACTGCTCGAACCGCCGCTCGGCCTCTTCGCTCTCCGCCCGGCGCGCCTGATCGCACCGCCGCTCGCCGAACTGCTCCTCACAGCGCCTCTCGCAGCGCCGCCGCATCTCCTGATCGTAGTGTGGCTGCTGCCGGCACTCCTCCCTGCATTGCTCCAGCCGGGGGTCTCTTCTCTCGTCGGCGAAAGCCAGAGAGGAGGAGACCAGCACGGCGAAGAAGACGGCGAGAGAGAGAAGGGTTCTCCTTGTGGTTGCCATCGCCGGAGCTGAGTGGGTTGGAAGGGAAGTACCCGCCCTGGTCCTCCATTTATAGTAGGGAGGAGGACGCCGGCGGCCGTCCGAAACGGAAACGTGTCTTCCCTTGGGCATGCATGGGATCCTACTTGTTGCAGTGGCCTCGATCTGAACGAGGCGAGGCGCCGCGTAAAGCGTTGCAGGCGCCACGCACCGATGATTTTTTTGTCGAAAGTATAAAACGTGTCGGCGTAATAAGCTATCTGTGGGACCCAATTGTCAAATACGCAAACCATTGAATGGTGAGAGCGAAGGATGATGACTGAGTGAGAGGGTGTAAGGAATGATGACGGCCACAATAAAATCGTAAACCATACTATGCTTTAGCAATCATTTCGATTGAGTTGTAGCGGAGCCATGGCTAATTTAGGATATTTATGTAAAGAAAAAAGTAATTATCCGTGTAAATTGTTGGCTTAAGGAGCCTTAAAATGTGTTGATGATGTCTAATTTACATATGTATAATCAAATTATTAATTTTGAATAAACATAAACATTGAGACAATCATATTTGAAGTAAATACTATGAAATTTTTGAAAACATCTTTGTGTTTGAAGTGTATAGATGAGAATATAAAGATGATAGTTAATGTTCATGATTTGAGATTGGTAAAAATATTTGAAAATATTATTGAAATTATTATTTATTTAGTTGATATATTTTTTAATCAAAATTACAAATTATACCCTTTGATTAGAAATAATGATTTTGAGTTTGGAAAAAGCTCATACATATATGGTTTAAAGTACCAAGGTGAAGATATGGCATAATATCATATGCTTAGAATCTAAGAATGAAAATATACATTGAATTTTTACATTAAATCATTCTTTAATTTTGAAGAATATTATTCTTGGTACATGAATTTGAGGTAATAATTATATCTAAGAATTCTAAGTGATGGATTTTTGGTTCAAACATGAAGGACATGTCTATAAGAATTAAAGGAAACATCATCCTAAATATTTTCATTGATTTTTTTAAGTTTAGAAAGATAATGCTGAGAAATACAAAGAAAGACTATATCAAAATTACACATATAAATTAAGACTTCTCTTGCTAATTTTCACTAATATTTACAGCATCAACTGAGAAGAATTTTGATTGAAATTCAAAGTTCAAATCAGATTCATAGACACGAAAAGTTGAGATTGCTATTTAATCATAAATTTATTTCATCTCAATTGAAATTCAATAAGCAGTATTCAAACATTCAAAGAACTTCAACACAAGATGAGGATTATGGAATCAAATACAAATCAATCATCTTCCCCATTGAATTTCGGCAATTGTAAGTTGATCTTTTTTTCAATATTGCAATAAGTGAGTTTATATTACTTTTTGGTTAAAACTTGTGATGAGGAGTCTTATTACTCAAGAGAATTAATCGCTATAACTAGTGGTTAAGTATTCTAGGAGTATGAATTTAGAAAAGTTTGAAGTAAATCTTATGCAACATGAGCCCTTGTAATCAACAAATAGACGCTAAGTTGAACTGGAGGATATGTTATTGGAAAGTGAAGTCAAGGTGATTGAACCGCTTTAAAATTTCTTGTCTTATATTGATTCTTTGAAGAATTAAGAATAACAATGAGATCTATTTCTCTTTAAGCGTAACTTTATATTTAACATAAATAATTCTTATTAATATAGTTTATATTTAGTTATCTAACAGTAAGGGCCTCATAAAAAGTTTCAAGAAATTTACTCATTTTAGTATGAAAAGTTTAACTTTGTACATATGAAGTGTGGGTGGGAGGAAGGACCAAGCAAGGATCACAACCATTAGTAATTTATCATAGTTTAGTGGAGAGAATTAAAAAGAAAAATAATTATTCATAAGTAAATAATTCATATTAAATAGCTCATAATGAATTATCTATCAGTAAAACTCCCATCAAAAGTTATAATTTATCCATTTTAGTAGCAAAATTCTCAGCGCCGAGCTGCCCATGCCACAGTGGAGGAAGAACCACGGCGGCGGATGCCCGCGTGCACCTACTCGTGTTGGCGTTTCAGGCAGTATGGGGGGAACCGCCATTACCTTATTATCGCACATGGCGGCGCGTGTTCCCCAGACCACGTCGCCGCCATGCACAGCCCAGTTCGCCACGTACGGTCTTTTCTCACTCTATAAGAAGTGAGGGGCCGCCCTCTCCCCCTCCTCGTCCTTCCCCACAGAATCTTCTTCCTCCTCCGTCGACAGTCTAGGGTTTAACCATGACGAACAGTCGAAGCTTCGCCTTCCTCCTGCTTCTCTCTGTCTCCCTCGCCGCCTCCGCCACGGCCCTCTCCTTCGAGAGGGAAGACCCGGAGCTGCAGGTGTGCAGGCGCCAGTGCCGGCAGCAGAGGCAGCTGAGCGAGAGGGAGCAGAGGGAGTGCGAGCGCCGCTGCGAGGATTACGCCCGTGAGAAGGAGGAGAGAGAGAGAGGGGAGCGCGGTAGAGAGAGAGAGGATCTCCTCGGGGAGGAGCGGCCGGAAGAGCGGCTCCAGCAGTGTCAGCGGCGGTGCGAGGCGGAGCACGGCCGTGATCCTGGCCAGCGCAGCCGGTGCCAGCGGAGGTGCCAGGAGCGATACCAGGAGGAGCAGAGGGAGAGAGAGAGAGGCCGTGAGACCGACGACGAGAGGAGGGAAGAGACAAGGGAGCGTCTTCAGGTGTGCCGCAGGAAGTGCGAGAGGGAAGCGGAGGGTCCAAGGGAGGAGAGCGAGTGCCGCCGGCGGTGCCAGGAGCGCTACCAGGAGGAAGAGAGGAGAGAGGGCCGGGAAGCTGACCCACAGAGGGAAGAAGAAGAAGAAGAAGAGAGAGAGGGAGAGCGCCACCGAGGAGGGAGAAACCCTTACTTCTTCGACCAGGAGAGCTTCCAGCACCGCATCAGGACCCAGCACGGGAGCGTTAGGGTTCTTGAGAGGTTTACCCGGAGGTCAGATCTCCTCCGGGGGATCGAGAAGTACCGTCTGGGCTTCATGGAGTTCAACCCCAACGCCTTCGTGCTGCCTCACCATCTCGACGCCGACACCATCTTCTACGTCGTCAAAGGTAGACCATTTCCCTCTGTTCCTCTCCTTCTTCCTCCTTCGACCTTCCGGCCTAATAATCCATGGCGGGTGGTTCGCAGGAAGAGGAACGTTGACCATCGTAAGGGAGGAGAACAACCGTGAGACCCTCGGCATCCGCAAGGGAGACATCCTCAGGATCCGCGCCGGGTCGATGGTCTACCTCGTCAACCAGGACGACAACGAGAAGCTCTTCATCGCTAAGATCCTGCGGACAGTCGCGACCCCGGGGGTTCTCAGGGTGGGTGATTAGCCGAGAAGTCTTCCGCTGGTCAACTTCTTTCAGGTTAGATTTTCTCATCTTGCCTGTTCTTTCAGGAGTACTTCGCTGTGGGGGGCGAAAACCCAGAGTCCTTCCTACGGAGCTTCAGCAGCGAGATCCTGGAGGCGGCCTTCAAGGTGAGTGTACACCGACTTCATCTGGGTTCGAATCCCACTGAGGGTTCCACAAGAGATCAGATCTTTTTGAGAAAAAACAGGAATTTTCTTGTCCCTCCTGTCCAGGTGATCAGAAAAGAAAGAAGAAATGGTTGATGTATTCAAGATAATTACGTATTTAACAAAGAATGCGATATGATAGTTCCGAGGGATGAACCGGATATGGACAGCTCCAGAAAAATTTTGTTCTTGAAGAAAAATCCATTTTGGATTTATTTCATATAATTCTATGACCGGAACAATAGGGAACAAGGATGCAGGTTACGGGTTCTTCCTCTGAGTTGACCATTGATGCTGGTGTTGCAGGCTCCGAGGGAGAGCTTGGAGAAGATGTTCAGGCATCAGAAAGGCGCCATCGTCCAGGCGTCCAAGGAGCAGGTCCGGGCCATGAGCCGCCGCTCGTCGGAGGGCGGCGGCCACTGGCCCTTTGGCGAGTCCAGCAGGACGTTCAACCTGCTCGGCAAGCGCCCTTCGATCTCCAGCCGCCACGGACAGCTCTTCGAGGCCGACGCCGGCGACTACAGGGAGCTCGAGGACCTCGACATCCAAGTCAGCTTCACCAACATCACCGGCGTAAGTCCAGACCACCTCTTCTTCTTCTTCTTCCTCTTCCTTCCTCTTCCCCTTCCTCCTCCGGGGGGTGTAAGTTTAGACCGTCTAATAACAATTTCCGGTTTCCTCGATATTCTTCCACGCAGGGATCCATGGCGGCGCCGTTCTACAATACGAGGTCGACCAAGCTGTCCATGGTCGTGAACGGAGAGGGCTACTTCGAGATGGCCTGCCCCCATGTCTCCAGGGAGGGCGAGGAACGGAGGGAGAGAGGAGAGGAAGAGGGAGAGCGGAGGGAAGGGCAAGGCCAGCAGAGGCAAGTGCACTACCAGAAGATGAGGTCTCGTCTGTCATGCGGGACGGCCTTCCTCGTCCCAGCCGGCCACCCGGTCTCCATCGTCGCATCCAGCAACCAGAACCTGCAGGTTATCTGCTTTGAGATCAATGCCAGAGACAACCGCAGGCTCTTCCTCGCGGGTACGCATCAATCACTCTCCTAGGTCTTCCTCCTCCATCCTCTCAGACCTCCGTAAACCCTAAATTCTGGTGGGGTTTCTACAGGGAAGAACAGCATACTGAAGCAGCTGGAGAGGGAGGCGAAGGAGCTCTCCTTCAACGCGCCGGCGAAGGAGGTGGAGGAGTTCCTTGGCCGCCAGGAGGAGACGGCGTTCGTGGATGGGCCGGAACGCCGTAGCGAGCAGCAACGTGAGGAGAAGCGTCTCCCGCTGGGTTCCATCCTCGATTTTGCTGGGTTTTGAGGCGTAGAGGCGGAGCTCAGTCCGCCTGCGAGACGTGTGTAAGTAAGGTCGAGAAGAAGAAGGGACGAGGGGCCAAAGTCTTTTGAGGACGAGGGCCTCCTTTGTATCCAAAGCAGTGAATAAAATCCCTTCGTCGTTTTAATGGAGGCCGGGGTCTAGCCATCTCTCATCCAGTCCGACAGTGCTTAGTGCTTAGTGCTTAACCCCTCTCTCTCTCTCTCTCTCTCTCTCTCTCTCTCCTCCCCCCCCTCTCTTTGCCGCCTGTCTATCCCTCCTTCATATCTCTCAATCTATCTATCTATCTATCCATCTCTCTAACCCTCTCCCGCCAGCGTATGTGGGAAAACGAGGGAAACATTTAGAGAAAGCGGCTTGCTCTGTTCTCGTCTCTGAAGCTCTCTTCAGTAACCAATACATGTAAGGGAGGCGAGAAGATGTAGGAAGAGAAAGATGGAGAGGGTCAGGGAAGATGAGCTTTCATATGAATATACGGTTGTGATAGTAACTGGTTTGTTAAAATAAAAAGCAAAAATACGAATTTTTCTCTTGTTCTGCTTAATATGACACGATTATGGAACAAATGATTTAAACATTTAGATTTATGAAATTTAAGATAATTATCAGAAGATAGTGGTGTATTAAATCAAATCTCATTTTATTTAATATACAACTTCAAGTATGTTTTCTTAGTCTTTTCATCCAGGAAGATCGATATTACTTTTAACAAAGAAAAGGTGTGATGAATTGGGTTGAATTTTTAAAAATTAAATCCTGAATTACTGTAAAAACTTTTAAATTTTTCTACGGCAGTGAGATGGGTAGGATTTATAAAGATATTTAGAGAGGTGATAGAGCCAAGAGAGTGCATTTATCATCAATTTGGCAAAGTTTTTAAAGGGGAAATACACATACCATGAATTCTATATTGAACGGCACACCATGACCCCCCAGAAAAGATAAAGATAAATGCTTGTGGAGATCTAAAGCAACATGAAAGGAGAAAATACTATTTTCTCGAGTTTAGGCCAAGGTTGAAAATGTTGTGATCCATCTAGTGAAAAGGTGTCTTACTCAAGTCATAGGACGACTTCAAATTGAGCCTAGACTTGAAGATCTAAACATAAACATTTGCCATGCTCTATGCACATATTCATATGGAGAGAAAGACATTTGTTTAGATAAGTGAAAATGTATGTTCTTCATTTATAATTCTCAATCCAAAGTTGTGAATTATATGGCCAGAAGACATTATTAAAGTTATAATACGAATTTGGGTTCTTTTAGATGATAAAGCCACATGAGATGAGATGGGAACAAGAAAAATACATGTGCAGCCCTTACTTTAACAAAAGGTGAAGATGCATATAGAGAAAATAGATGAGTGAGACTATAATCAAGTTCTTTATCATGTCCAAGTTTGATATTATATATACCTCAAATTTTAAGGTGAGAAGCTTGATTGACAATCGTATATGCTTTGTCATTTCTAGAATTTCACATGTTAAGAGTTGATAAAAGATGAAGATTATGTGAAGACTATGAAATAAGTGAATAGTTAATTGAAACGAACAATAAATGATATTTTGTGAGTATGGTAGTTCACTGATGTCAAATTTATTACAGAAAACGATTACTACTTTACCAGTCAAAGGATGTTGACAAAAATAAATAATAGATTTTGAATAAAAAAATTATATATAGTAATGGTCTAAAAAACTCAATGAGCTTTTTTGGCCAATTCTATAGATAATAGTTACTTCCCAGATTAACATGCCTTTAAGTTCATATTTTTTAATGAGTGCCATAATAAGCTTTCTTCGAGAAAGTGAGGGTTTCATCAAGAAAGACTTAGGGTAGATAGGTTGTAGAAAATAAAAGTCACATTTACAGAAAAGTCAAATTGGTATATTTTTCAAATGAAAATAATTTCAAACATGTGATAACAAACTAACATATGTTATGTTAAATAGTATTATGATCAACATTAATTGTAGACACAAAAATGTTCATTTTTGCAGAAGTGATGAAGTCCTCAAAAGAACTTTGATGAAAATATGTAGAGGTATATTCCAAGGTAAAATGGATTTCTTAATGATAACAAAAGATGATGCATCCCCAATGCTAGGTGCAAGTTAAGATATAAATTCAATTTGTGTATCATCATATTTGCCCCATGCACCAAATGATGTTTTTACCCTTCAACTGTACATATAGTTTTTAACATCAAAATATTGTTTACTCAAAGGCATAATGACCTCAAAATTACTTACAACATTTGAAAATTAGATTTAGATATCAATGAATTGCTTTAATCATATTGTAGGTTGCATTGATTGAGATTTAACCCCTCAGAATTGACCTATTGGTTAAACTTTTAACATGTTTAAGCTTCATAAAAATAATTGATAAGTAATTGAAACTGTAAGAATAATTTTTGACACAAGTTTTTCATGTTAACTTTAAAATCAAGATCTTAATTTCGATACAAATATCACACATATAATGGAATAATATTAAAATATTGTACTATCCTTCACAATAGCCTAATTACTAATAAACGATGTTCAAAGGCATTGAAAAATTATTGTAATAATAATCGTGATAAATGCAACTTTAATATATCACTAGGTTGTCACTATCGTTATTCAATTATTTTTAAAATCATACATATTATTTTCATTATAAAATTATTTAAATGTGAATAGGTCATGTTAAGCATCATAATTATTCAACTTACAAACCCAATTACTACCATGAAATATGTTCTACGTAAATGTGTATTTTTTTTGTAACTTAGATATTGTAGTTCCTTTGTATCAAAAGTAGATCATAAAATTTAATTATTATAGGAACCTGGGATGTTTGTAAAATTAGAAACCTACATGATGAGCTAACACTAAATGTCTTGAGGTTGGATAGTTTTTATGTATGAATCTGGTTTTGTAGGTGAGTTGGTACTTCATGTTCAATGCTTGTACTTTCATGGCTTGAAGTTGAATCAAATAGAGGTTCTTGAGGAAGAACGGAAAAAGGATAATAGCACAACCCATACGAATCTCATTGTTTTCATTCTTTACACAAAGGGGTTGAAACAACTAAAATACATCATCAAATCAAGCTGATGTCTCTTATCTAAGCCTTAGAACTGAGTAAGACCTTTATGTGACTTTTATGAAAAGATTAATTCATCCTCCCTCCCCCTATTAGTTCATAGTGGCATACTTAAGATTAATAGGGCACTCATTTGTACTGTCTTGTACTTGAATCTTATACTATATATCTTAGGGACACATGTCTTGCTTTTAAAATAAGGTTTTAATCATTTTAAAGAGAAGGTGGTAAAAGAAAAGTGATGAAAATATGAACTCATCTTTGGTAACTATTTTCTCAAATTCAAGAATTATTTTGGTTGCTCTAAAAATAGGAAGGCTTTCGCCCATTGTTCTTAAAAAGTTCATTCACTATAGTTTTGAATTATTTATTTAATTTATATTTAGAAGCTCTAGCAAAGTGTATGACAATCTAGTGGCTTGCACAATAGGAGTTATTAAAGATTTAACCCAAATGGCTTTGTGAAGGTATTGCCCACGGGTGGGTAGAGACATCAAATTTTGAGGGTAGTATTTCTAATCAAGTAGGAGTATCAAAATCTTAAGTGAACCCTTGAAAGATAAGATCTAGGCAATGTTACACCACTTGGATATAGACTCCATGCCATGTTGTGTATCATCCCTTTCTCTTCCTATTTTTTTTGTATACACTAATTGACTCATATGAAAGACTTTATTCACATCCTAGATTTTGTTTCTTTTTTCATTACAACATGAGTTGACATCTAGAAATCATTTTTCCAATGACTATAACTATTATTGGTTATTTTATTGAAATGAGATTGAAAAAATTCAGCATGTTTAGCTGTCTCTTAATGGTTTTTATAATAAAGAGTTAGTAATTTCAAGCTATTAAGGCTCTCCATTAATGCAATGCTGTGTATTTTCATCATCAGGTCCTAGAGGAACTTCCCTCAAGCTTGTAGACACCCAAGAAATCTAAGTAGAGTGCATGGGAGCCCTCTCAACTAATCTCAGAATATTCTTCTATATTAGGTAATTTTTAAAAGTTGGGTACATTTATTTATATAGTGTGTTTGAATATATTTTTTCTCAAAATCATAAGGTTTAAATGATCATGATATGCCTTATTTCAAAGTTTAGGAAGCCAAGATGTTTTCAAGCTGATAGATGAGCAAGTGGAACTAACAAAAGAACATGCAACTAGAATGAAGTAGTTACAAGATGGACATAAATAGAATAAAACCCTTTGTCCATTTATGTGCTTCATTTCTTCATGTTAACTCCTAAGAAATGCACATTATAAGAATTTGCCTCAAGATCCCCTAGAAAATTAAAAAAATACATAATATAGATTTAATTTGTTTGTGTCTTTACATGAAATAATAATCTTAAATCATGTCATGCAAGAACAATGTCCATTTTCTAACCATATATATATATATATATTTATGAATCCATCAGATGAAGGGACCACAAAAATAACATCTTTTACTCCAAAATTTCAGGCAACAAATACTTTTAAAGGCACACTCAAAGCTATTGTTCCTACTTGTAATCTTTTCTAATACAAAAAATTCATAAATACACACACACACACACATATTTATATATATATATATATAATGTTTAGGCCTAAGATGATGCCCACTAAATTGATATTTAGTGAGTATGATGATAAAATCGAGATATTTATGAAGCCCAATTTGTACTACCCATGTCTAATCTTAGACATATTTCCATTTTTTGAAGATTTTTTTTACCAAGTTTATGATTGTGTAAAAATTATGAGAGAGAGAGAGAGAGAGAGAGAGAGAGCGAGAGAGCGAGAGAGTGAGCATACAAACAAAGAGCGATGCCAATAATACCCACATTACTAATTCAAGGTAATCATTAAAATCATTAATCACGTTAATTTTTAGCATATATTATTGAGTAATTAGTAATTTGAATAAGTAATTCTTCATTGGGTATTATTATACACTACCAATTAAGGGCTTAGAAATTATCCAGTAATTATTTTCAATTGGTAATTCTAATCGTAGGAAGAAGAAAATTGACGCAGTGAAAATCAATGATGAAGGGAGAAAACAACATAAATTATTAATTCAAAATTACTTAGAAAATATTATTCTTTCAGAATATTTCTAATTCTGCATCTTTTGTTGTTTTTTTACTCCACCATCAGTTTAGTCCACTTGCTTCTGCGCGGTAGCGTCGTCCACAACGGACGGCAGTGCAGAGCGGGGCGGCAAGTGGGGTCAACTTGATTGACGGGGAAAGGTGGAGCTACGAGTGCCTCTCACTGGGCACCCACCGGCGATCTCCGCCACCTCGCCGCCGCTGCCGCCACCGGTGGAGCTGTCGCCGCCGAGGATCTCTAGACGTCGAGTGCGATGGCCTTGATCCGTGCGGCGCTGCTGGCCTCCCCGGTGACGGCGACGTTGAAGCGTCCTGAACTCTCGGAGCGTTTCAGCCTACGTTGCCGGGTGCATGCCTGTTTGCGAGCACCTGTCGTCTCCTGTTTGGGATCGTACTCATCCCAAAGCTTTCCAACTGGCGAGGCCGCTGTTGCTTCACCATCAACCTCTCCGGAGGTGCTAAAAGGCGGGCTTAGCTACGCGCAGAAAAGTTCTGTGGATGGAAGCGGCGGCGCTACTGCCGTCGTCCCAACCGCAGGCTCCACGGAAGCCACCATCGAGAGGGTAGGCGAACGAGATTCCCTCCTCCTTAGCTGCTTTGGATCATCTTGGGCATTGCCTAACTTGATCACTTATGTTCTGTCATTAAACAATTGAATATCTCTATGTGCAAAAGGCACGGGCTATCTTCTCCAGGATTCCAGGAGAATTTGCACATCCGGTCTTCCGTGACTAATGATGAGAATCTGCGTTGGAGCGGGGAATGTCACTTTGTTTCTTGTAATCGAGTCATAGGTTAGAATCTATATATGGAAGCATTCATCTATGAGTGCAATATTTGAATCAAAACAGTTGAGATGTTCATCTTTTTCTGTAACTTTGCTAATTTGAAATCTATTTTATGGGGGACCTAAAAAGTTTATGCTAGTCAACGTTCTTTGAGAAGGCATTGCGCAGTTTTAATTTAGGCCAGGTTCAGTACTTTATAATTTCTGTCTTTTGTGCTCCTTTGAGGCAAAATTCATCTTCTGCATCAAACAAAATATGATAGTATATATGCTGTTTTGTTAAGCTGATAGGATGATTGCACTAGGTGACTTTCATGCGTTTATCAAAGTGGTTGACAGTAGTTTGAGCAATATTTTCTGACGTACTTTACTTCTTCTCGTAGATGGTAGTTGATAAACCAAATTTACTTGTTGAAACCTAATACTGGCCTTTAATGTTATTGAATACCAGTTAGATAAGAATAAGTTCAAGGAGATCCTACAAGTTCTTTATGATTCCTCTAGTATGTCTATTCTATTGTTTTCTTTTTAAGCCTCCATCATATTCTTCTGTTACTATTTTTGGTTTTGTGTAACTAATTGTCTATTGAGTTTAAGAAAGGTGGCTCTTGATCAACTTCAGTAATTTTGAAAAAATCATATTAGAAAATCCATAAATCTAGTGTTTGCTGATAAAAAGAACGAATTTACAGATCTTGATTCAGATCTGTTGTTTGAATTGAAGGTATTTTTTAAATTTTTTTATCCTTTCTCCGTTTAAGTTTTACAGAAATCTATTCAAATACTGATGGAAGCGTCCTTGCCGAAAATCGCATCTTAATATGACCTTTTCCCCTTGGTGCTGAAATTTCTTTTTTTTTCTTCACCGCAAAAAAATAAATCTCTTTTTTATTTCCTTGATGTGAAGTCCCTAATCTTTTGAATATCTAATTTGTGAGCAGGTAATCTTTGACTTCCGTTTCTTGGCGCTTCTTGCAGTTGGAGGCTCTCTAGCAGGTTCCTTGCTGTGCTTCCTAAATGTATGCATATTCCTGATATGCTTATGAACATCAGTGGTCGTTAAATTTTGTGTCATTTTGCGATGTGGCAGTGAGATAGTATTTTTTTTGCTTTTGCCTGCGAACGTTTTCTTTCTTTAATTTTGTTTCACTAAGACTGAGATATTCTCTTTCTCCAGCTAGACACATAATCCAGACAAAATAATTCCAGTACACCAATTTTTTGTTCGTATGTCTAATGTACAAGCATCATGATCACCCTTTTACCGTTGCATTATGAATGTTTCGGGAAACTGTTAAAATTACTGTTCATCTACCCTTAACCGTATGAGTGGTGCCTTCTATTCTTCGAGAGGCGCGATTGTTAGATCTAGTTGGCGTTTTCTCTTCATATACCATAAATTTCGTGGGCTTTTAGTCCAAATGCAGGTTCCAACAATCATCCATATTGTGATTGTCTCTTTTGTAGTGATGACAAATTTTGGTTCAATTGTTTTTATCTTTTATTTGGTCCGTTTCCTCCTTTAAGTATCTTTTGTTGAAGCATTGCTTATGGTTGAATAATTCGGGAATTATTTTCACTTCATAGGTAATATGGTCGAATGCATGTTTATATTTACTAAAAATTGGGACTGCCTATTGGATGCTCCCTTAAACAATAAAGGAATCAATTTAAGATAAATTCTCTGAAAGTTACATATTGCAAAAATGATTTCTACAAAAATTCGTATTACTCCTAGAAAAAAAGAGCCGTCCTACATACTTTATTGAGCTTCAACAATTGATGGTGTAAAATATTTAAAATTTGTTGTCTTGGTTGTCTTCAATTCATTATGTCTAGAAGGCTGGGGAAGGATTTTTTATTGGAGAAAAACATAAATAGTATGTAACCAAACAAGATTGTAGAGTCAAAAAATTTCACCGATGGATGAAGCATCCCATTTTTCTTTGTCAACTTTTAGTTGGAGTCGAACTGAAGATTGAAACCTCAGAATTTTAGTGAGGTCTCTTGGAAATGGCAGAAATTCATGACCCTGAAGAATATCTGATAGGAAAAGGACTTATTTGTGAAAACAATAGTATGGATAATACATTGAACAAAAACGCTGCAGGATTAGAATGGTGGTTAATATTTCATTTGTGATTAATATATCTTTTCCTATTATGCAAGGGCTCATTCATTTACTTCGCATTTTTTAGTCAATTAAGGGCATGTTTTCTTTTCCATACCTCGGTTTATCGAGAAAGCTGGATTCCTTACGGTTGGACCTGATTTGTTTCATTTGAATAGGGCTGTGTCTACATTGTTGATGCGTACAGGGTTTACTGGACAAGCTGTGTCAAAGGGGTACACACAGGCCAGATGGTTCTACGATTAGTTGAGGCTATTGGTGAGGATCTCTCTGGTTTCATTTAAGAAGTAACTTCATTTTGTAAGCGACAGAAAAAAATTATGCTTGACAAGTGAATGAAATTATGTCCGAGTTGGGAGATAACTATACTTCAATGCCTTTCTTAACGCTCATTCCTGCCTTATTCTATTGAGATGTTGGAGTTGGTGCCATCTGTTTCAAGCTAGAAATCATTTTATCCAGTTATCCCTTTTTTTGAATAGTAGCGAATAAGTCAATCTACAAGGGTTTTATGAGTTTTGGGGAGTTTTATTGTTTTTTTCTCCTTCACCAATTCTGACTATCTTTTAGTTAATTTTCGCACTTAATTTTTTATTTGATTTCTATTGTTTTCCTCATTGTGAAGTCAAAAGTTGTCTCAAAGCACCATTTCAAATATGTCGATCCTCATTAACTTTCCTGGTGCACTTGATAAAGTATCCATCCCCCAAGATGGGCGGAGGTTGGATCAAGAATGAGGAAGAATGCTTTTCATGTTACAACTCAACGAGGTTCTGATATTTATATTAGACCCTCTCAGAAGGTTCTAGACACCAGTAATCAGAAAAGGAAAAAACATGGCAGGTGACATGTCAGGTACAATAATTCAAGGTACTCCAAAAAAATCCTGGTTAGGTACCAGCATATAAGTGAGAAACATAGTTTAAGACACATACGGGTGAGCACATCATCTGTGGGCTTTTTCTGGTATTGCCTGTGACAACCAAAACTTGAGTGGATAGTTGAAACCTGTTCTGATGATAGCCTTAGGCTCCTCGGCTCCCACATTCCAGACACGATGTGTGACTTTTGGGATGTTGAAAGATATTATTGCACAATGAAAAAGCCTGTTGGAGAAGGAGATTGAATACAAGTGGACCTTTTGTCGACCAATTGTCTTATCTATGCATTGAAGATATTAGATGCAAGTGTATGTTTGTTAGATAGTTTGGAGAGCTTGCACACCACTGCAAAGGGAAACCTACCAGCAAAGAGAGGAACCATATAGAGGTTACTTTCGAGGATCTCTTGTTACCCTTGTGACTGTAAGAACTGACGAAGGTCAAGATGCCAATAACAGTGATAACTTACATTATGCTTTCAACAGTTTGGACTATCTTTCTAGTCTTCACATAAACCTTTAGCATTAATGGCTAAGATGGCACATTTCCCTTGGTAAGTTTAGACACTTTTACCCTTGGTGATTCCAGACTTAACATTCATCAGTTCAACTATGCCCCGAGTAGGGTATGTTACCCTTGGTCTTTCTTCTGAAGGAACCTTTTGAACACACTTAAAAGTCTTTGTCCATCCCCTTTCCGTATGAAACTAGCTTGGAATAAATATTTAGGTTAAATGCACATCTCTTGGAGATCGTTGGGACCAGCATATTTATTGTTGCATCTACCCTATGCTACTTAGTGTTCAGAACGCTAATCATATGATAGTAATCCTCTCAAATCATGCTTGGCCAGCTATTTGGGGCAGCTGAACTCCATTGAATTGTCTGGGAACCGGGACGATGCAAGTTGTATCGGCTAGTTTGTGGCCAACCCATTCAGAATCGACTGATTTTGGAACAGTTGTTTGTTGAGATCACCCAATCTGGTCACATGTTGAAAAAAATATTTTTGCCTTGGGGAAGAACAGTATCCCTCATCCCCAAATCGGGTTAGATTAGATTCAAAACAACTGTTTTCACTACTACCCTCTCTTTATTCCATATTATTAGAACATATAGAATAATGATTTTTTAATTCATTCTGAATCATGATTATCCCCTCAAAATGGCCATTTCGGCCAGCCAAACCCTGGGCGATCATGATCATGTCTTTCTAATGTTTAAAATTTTTATCTGTTGACGAGTCAAGTTTTCACGCTTGCCTATCCGAATCGGGATTGCTAATCGTCCATCAATTTAGAATGTTTAGGTTTCATTTTTGAACAAATTATTTTTACGTTGAATATTTATGGGGGAATCCATTTCTACTTCTGACGCATAGCAAGACTTTTATTGCGCCTTCCTCCACTAGAAAGCTGAGTTCTCTTCTTGTTTAGATGTCTATCTCGCAGGCACAGTAATGTTAATATTTGGCATGGGCTTGTATGGTTTATTCATCAGCAACGTGCCTCCTACTTTACCTCCTAGCATGGACCGTTCTCTCAAGGGATCTTCTTTGTTTGGGATGTTTTCTTTAAAGGTAACTTTCATGTACATAATAATCATCATTCATAATACATGCTTGGTTCTTCTATCTATTTATTTTCGTGTTTTGCTTGCTCTCTTTGCATTTCTGATGGCATTTCTAAGAAAGATGCTATGTGGGTATTTCATGTTCCCTGTGTTGTGTTTCTCACTTCTAGAACGACAATCTGGTACTAATTTTCATACTGTCTTACTGGCCATGATGGACACATCTCACAGGGAGACGATAGATATTTGGTTTCTGCAGGACACATCTGACATGAGAACGAAATCTAAAACCTAAATGGGAAAGAAATTAAATTGAAAACGTTTCTCGAGCTCTTTGAAGCCCATCAAGTAAAATCGTAATTGTTAGGCTTTGGGAGCCAAATCTTCTTGTAATCTGAAGATATCAGATGATCAGTTCCATTTCTGGCTACGGGTTCTCCATTCCAATTGTCTGCAGCCCAACCATTTGAGCTTTTTCATTCCGACTTCTTGGAAATGATGAAATAATCATAATTCACTCTTGATCATATCGGAGTCGACATGAGAAGACACAATCCTGTTGGAGAGAACTAGTATATTTACTGGCATGTGGATGGATGGATGGATGGTTCACTTAAGGGGAAGAACAATTTAACCAGCATTTGTGCATAGTCAAAATGCCTATTAATTTGATTTATTTTTCCTGTTAATAATTTGAGAAAATCAAGGGATTTAATCTCCACTGTTAATAACTAATCTACATGATTATTCATTAATCTCCATTGAAACGGGATTTTCTCATTCTCTCACTGTACCTGTCATTGATTTGAACCATTCTGTCAGACCAGAACAAATGACTTCCAATTTGGTTTATTTTTCCTGTTAATAATTAGAGAAAAAGTGAGGGATTTAATCTCCATTGTTAATATCTAATCTATATGATTATTCATACTCTATAATCTAATCCGGTATTCAGACCATGCTCATCTATCGATGGTAGTTATACCGAGGGATCCTTGATTTAAATGCTTTCAGTGAAAGGGAACCTGATCGAGCTGAAATTCTCATGCAATGATGAATCTCAGTACCCTTCCTCTTGTGCTTTGACTCCAAAGAATTGCAGTTCATCGAGGTTTCCATGTCGCTCATGCAGGAAAGACCAAAGTGGATGAAAATAAGTTCTCTTGATGAACTGAAGACAAAGGTGGGGCACGTCATAGTGATGATCCTCCTTGTGAAGATGTTCGAGAGAAGCAAGATGGTGAGCATTGTCACGGGTATTGATCTCCTCAGCTACTCTGTGTGCATATTTCTATCATCTGCTTCCTTGTACATTCTCCATAATCTCCATAAGACAGATTAAGCATCTGCAAAGGCCACTCCTTGAAGATTAGATTACTATGTATTGCAGTATTGCAATCATATGTATGAATATGGAAGATACTCCATGGGAAAAGTCTGTTCATGTTATTAGGCCACCCTTTCACAAGGAATGCATATTTTTTTAAAAGAAAAAAGTGGAGTTAATTATTCATTATGGCTCCTAGATTATTATCATGTGTATAGAAAAATAAATAGATGTGGGCTGGAAAGAAGAGAGGTTGACCTCAAAGGGATTCATCCCCATGGGGGTTCTTATCATGGAAGAGTTACTTTCTATAAGTGAAATTCCTTTCTTTTCCTTTGTTAATATTTTTATTTCTCATGTCATCTGCAAAGTTTGGCATCGTGCCTTCATAAACATACATAGATATGCATCTCTCTCTCTCTCTCTCTCTCTCTCTCTCATCCATCTTACTCTAGACCCACTCTAGAGTAGCTCTCCATAATATACAAGTGGGTGTGATCCTAACCATACGCTTGCCCATCATTGGATACTACCCAAAGCTAGTTTCCCCATTTTTAGGTGCTAAAAAATTAGTTAATAGGTAGAGAGAGATATTATGCTTGATTAAGCTTGGGTTAGTGTACAAAAAATTGCAATAATAAGCCCTCTATTTTAATGTCAACTCAATGCAAATGCAATGGATTAGCTAAAAGTCAAAGCTCATGTGGGGCTTACATAGAAGAAGGGTTAGTTCATAGGGGAATGAATGCCACATAAGGAGACCTTGATGTGGATGAATAGACAAAGTTTTCTGCACTAACGTCATCTTAGTTTATGGGTAATATTTAACTATTATTATTATTTTTTAAATGGAGTTAAGATCTAATTTTCAGTTTTTTTGAAGATCTAAAGTTGATATAAATAAAATCATTATGGCTGCTTAGAAGTGTTTGTGCTTTTAGCAAGACATTCTTGCCTCTTTTTGCCTCAGGAGTATTACAAAATTTGAGGTGTAATTTTCTAAACATAATTTCTAACATTAATTCACACAAAATTTTAATCACAGAAATTTCCCTAGGTTAATGAAAAAATATTTTATTCAACTTTGAATAATTTCCCCTTTCATTTCAATCCGGGTTGTACATTGGGTGAAATTTTTTTTGTGAATACATTTCCCAATTTGTAAAATATTTTCCTCCAAAAATTACAACAATCTTTCCTTAATGATCCAATTATTATGATCACGTAAACGAATTTAATAATTTTGATCATAATTATTAAAGGAATGTGTAGGAGAAATATAATTTTTGAATAATATAAGATAATCATTTAACAACAAAATCACTACTGTCCTCATCCCTCACTAGCCCAACAACATAGGCCTCTCCCACTCCTCCCCCTCTCTCTCTCTAGATATAACCATTACGGGGTAGTGTTGTGATTTAATTTTTATGGATCGCAATTAAAAAGAAGGGTTAAGCGACTTTGGTGAACTCTATTATTCAAGCTAACAAAAAAAAGGATTTTTTTAATCAGATAAAATTTATAATGAGACATAAAGCTGATGAAAATATTTTATTTTAACATGCTCATTCAATCCGTAAAGATCCTAACTGACGCTGGCGATGGGTCACTAAATCCTTACATATGAGTAATAATAATAATAATAATAATAATAATAATAATAATAATAATAATAATAATAATAATAATAATGCTATATTTTGACAAGGGTTAATGGGGTACAAAACATACAAAAGGTTATTTTATTAAATATAATATATAGAGGGTATGCAAGAACAAATAACCCAGTAAGGGGGGGTATGAGACAAAACCAAAACGGGTAAAACCAAACTCCGAGGGCGGCGATCCCTCTTCGGTCTCGGTCTCCCTCCTCCTCCTCCCCACCGGTGCGAGCGGCTGCGGACGGCGCCGTCGGGACCTCGTCTTCTGTCAAGGACTCTTACCACCCACTGGGCGGCGTCCGAGCTCGTTTCCCTCTTCGAAGCTCCGGCGAAAACTGAAGGGTCGGGGGGCTAGTATCGCGGTGTTCTCCTTGCACGCGGTGGAGCCGCGGCGGTGATGGCTCACAGGCTTCTCAGAGACGCGCAGGCGGATGGGTGGGAGCGCTCCGACTTCCCCATTGTCTGCGAATCCTGCCTCGGCGACAATCCATACGTCCGGATGGTGCGGTTTGCTCCTGTTCTGCTTTTCGTCTCGTCTTTCTCTCTCCCCTCCTTCCTTCCCTTCCCTCTGTCGCTTCTCGCCTTTCGCTCTTCTCCTCTCTATGGTCTGTTTACCGTCGTCTCAGTGATTCACCAACGTGGTTACAGGAACCCTAATCTTTGCTTAAATGCTTACCTATACATAATAAATCCCATCGATTTTGACTGCGGAGTCCAGATTCTCCGTTTGCGGTTCTTGATTATGTTTTTTTTTTCTTGACTGTGCGGAAACACGAACGGATTTCAGCAAATTCCTGTGGTTCTGTGTTGCGGGATATCCTACGAGAACAACTAAAATCACTGGCAATTAAACATAGATACCGGGCTCGGACTCCCATCAGGCTCTTCTCTTGTCGGGAATTATCCCATGTTCTTTTCGAGTTGTGTCAGGTTTGCTTACGTTTATTTGTTTTTGATTCTTGATGTCTTCAGACAAGAGCGGACTACGACAAGGAATGCAAAATTTGTGCTAGGCCATTTACAGTCTTCAGGTGGAGGCCAGGCCGTGATGCAAGGTACAAAAAGTCAGAAATCTGCCAAACATGTAGTAAGCTCAAGAACGTGTGCCAGGTCTGCCTCCTGGATCTCGAATATGGATTACCAGTCCAGGTCCGAGATACGGCTTTAAGCATCAATTCTAATGATGCTATCCCAAAAAGTGACGTGAACCGCGAGTACTTTGCTGAAGAGCACGACCGCAGGGTATGCTTGTGCTTCTTCTCTCTCTTTTCTTTCACCTGCAGTACTTTTGCATCTTTGGCAGCTTTGAAGTCTTCCATGGGTTATTTGCTTCTCATATTCCATTTTATAAAAATTAAGTTTTTGGAAGTTTTCAGAGTTGGTTTATTTTTGCATCATTAGAATTTTTGTGTGATGAAATGGATGATAAAGCATGAGAGGATGTGGTGACATTAACTCTATGCTATGGGCTATGGTTTCAAATGTTTTGAAACATTCAATAAGGCTCTTCCGGGATGTGGCTACAGATATTGCTTATTACATCAATTGCAGTAGTTTTCCAGAAGTTTTCTGGTTGAAATATGAAAACTACAGAGGGGTTTCGTTTCTTGTTGTGGAATTAATTTTTAACCCGTGAGTGTGGGCTGTTTCAGAGGCAAATGTTTTCTTAAAGTACTTCTGGGTTAATATTGAATATCGTGGAGATTTTTTTTCACTGAGAACTGGTCTTATGAAAGGATGAACGGCCCAGTGTTGCTTCTGATTTAGACTGTACAAGTGAGGCAATTTCAGTGGCAAACAAGGAAAAATGTCTGCTAAAGAAAAATACTTTAATACTCTTAGGAAGATTGAAAAGTAGCTGGATTTCTGATGTGATGCGTGCCTCCATTTTCTGGCCATCTTGGCTCAGTTAGTTTAATAGGTCGCAGAAGAACAATATATTGTATTCATTTTATTGAGAAAATCCGGGATACATATCTTGTCCTCATGTTTGTGATCTCCAAGAGAAACCAAATGTTATCATTAGGATGTGGGACTGATAAATATTTATCAGTCACAAATCTGGTGATAGTGACTGATAAATATTTGGTTCCATTCTAACCCAAGTGGTAATTGAAAGATGTGGGATATGATGGATGCAAAGATCTGCAAATAGGTGGATCATTAGGATCCATCGATTGCCAAGAACTAAGGAAAGGTGTTTATCTAGGATGTTTTCATTGATGGTTGAGCTTAACTGCTCTTCTTCTGATAAGAATTTGCTTGCAAAAGTTGAATCTCACCTAGAGAGGATACAAAACGTTTTTATGAATCATAAAGCTTGACCCTGAAATAGTTTTTCTTTTTCTTGGTTTAAATACATATTAGCCTGTTTTTCACAAGATTTTGTAAGAAATCCTTCATTGGAGGTGGTTTAAAATATAGACATCTTAAGACTTTTTATTTTTGCATATTTTTATTGCTTATATTGTTATTGAATCTGGAATCAGTTATTTCTTGGCGTCAGCTTTTGCTTGACTTGTTGCAATTGGAAAATTTTCTTGTTTTTCTTTCCAGTGAAACAGATGCTTATAATAGTTTCTTGATTCAAACATGTGTTGGATACAAATTGTAGTTGTTTGTGGTGAATGGCTGTTGTCGTCTACTAAATGACATGATGCTTTTTAAAATGGTTATCTTTTCTTGTAATATACTCATGCTCTCTGTTTGTGTTTATCTCATGTTCATGGTATATTTATTCACGATTTGTCCTCAGTTGTCGTTGTTCATAGTTATTTATTTGTGTGAATACTTTTCAGGCCAGAGCAGGGATAGACTACGAGTCTTCATTTGGAAAGGCACGACCAAGTGACACCATTTTAAAACTACAAAGAACTACTCCGTACTACAAAAGAAACAGAGCACATGTCTGTAGTTTCTTTGTTCGAGGTGAATGTACACGAGGTGCAGAGTGTCCGTATCGGCATGAGATGCCTGTAACAGGGGAACTTTCTCATCAAAACATAAAAGACCGTTACTATGGGTATGTACTTTCTGCATAATCAGTTTATTACTTGTTTTTCTATCTATTCATCACATAATTGTTTCTCCTTTGTTTGCACTCATTTGATGTTTTTAGAAAATGGTTTTTGTGGTATTAGTTTTGTTGTTAACCTTGACTATATGCCAAATGTAAGAGCAATTGAGTGTCATAGGCGAACTCTACGAGCAGGAACATGTAGGGACGTGTGAGAGTGGCTTGATAAGTTGATATTCTTCTGTGTCTATAGCTTCTTAGAAATGCCATTGTTCCTGTCTCTCTGGTTATCATAGGTCGTTTTCCCGTAATTGAAATCTATTGAAAAGAGCTAAAAATGTAGGTGGTGAAGACATTTCCTTAGTGTTTGACTCAGACACGAAGATTCTACATTCGAAAACCCAAACTACCGCAGAATAGATTCCCAAGCCCCACAACGTTGTACAGTTTCGTCAAAAGTTTAAAGATTGCCTTTCTCAATCCTCCCTTGTGTACAGTCAGATATTTATAATGTTTAATACACATAGATTGGGCACTATTCTGGGTATAATGTTCTTTCTTCGGATACATTATTTGGAACCCATCTCTTTGGGGTTAAGGTTTTTTTCTTCGTTTAACATTTGTTGAAATTATTATAGCATTACTATAATAATTTGCCATCTATCTAGAGGGCTATCGATGCTTGAAATCCAATTGGAGATGCAGTCCACTGGCTCTATTGATTTGAGATTATTTCTTCTTCCTTGTTTTTTCACATCATTCCATTGGAAATGTGGGCCTGGGATGGAAATTGGCTGAGTCATTATTGTAGAATAAGATATAATCTGATTTTGACGTGTAAGGTCTTGGCTGAACAACTAGGCTAGCTGAAGTCAAGGATTCCTGTGGAATATATCATGTTTGCGACAGAAATCTTGTGCATCAAGCGTCGTAGTCGTAGAAAATTAGAGCCAAGTACGAGGGAGTGATATCCATATATTAAACTCATATGAGGGTAAGAAAAAAGTTAATTAGATCAAGCAGTTATATCTCTGGTATGCCTGAAGGCTTTCTCCTTACTGAACCTTTTATTCTCAGTCTTATTTTTCCTTTCTCCTTGCCTTGCTCCCCATCTAAAGGAGGCGAAGCTCTTTCACTCGCATTTACCTGTCTATCTCATTGATGTTGTTACTGCCCTACTGACAAACGGATTGCGCCAACAACATTTGGCACTCATCGGCATAAAAACACATTTCCACACCAGTTATGTCCATTGCGTTTTCCTCTCTCAGTCCCACCTTTCTATCTCTCTCTCTTTTTCTCTCCATGTCCTCATTTTCTCTCTCTTTCATTTTCACTTTTACCGGTAATATCCCCCTTTCCTAATTAGGATAAAATTAATGGGGGGTAACAATACATCGCAAAGGTAGGAAAATTTAGATCTTAAATGGAGGGAAGGTGGGGAAGGATATATGTAGAGTTGAGTTAATGCAACATAGAGGTAGGGCTTTTGATACCTCTAGTGCAATATTTAGACTTTTACCTGTTGGTGGGTCTGCTTGCCTTTAATAATTTCTCTTTATAATTGGCCACCCAGCAACCTGCAGCTAGCTGAACCACATCTTTGCTGTGATTCAATACGCTTTCTTCTCCCATGATGAAAATTTGATACCTTCGATTTCGTATGTGTGCTCTATATGTTGAATTTTGTGCTTGAATTTTTATCTTGGTTTGGTAGACATTATAGATTTCATAGGTGTTGTCCTACATCTGGACGCATGTGATTGGATCTTTTCCACAGTCCTCGTTCTAGGTGTGTTGCTGTATCTTGATGAATCAGCTGAAAATGTCTGTGTGCATGGCTTGAACAATGCCAAATCAGTGAGGAAGAGTTTGATTGGATAAAGTTTCTGGAACAGATCATGTTTTTTCTTTCATTTGATTCTGAAGAACACCACTGATAATTGGATATAAAACACCACCGCTAATTGCTGCTATTATGAACATACTTGTGCAGGGTGAACGACCCAGTTGCCATGAAGCTCTTGAACATGGCGGGCGACATGCCTTCGCTCAACCCTCCAGACGACGAAAGCATAAAGACCCTCTATGTGGGGGGCCTCGACGCCAGGGTCACCGAGCAGGACCTCAAGGACAACTTCTATGCCCACGGGGAGATCGAATCCGTCCGGCTCGTGCCACAGCGGGCCTGCGCCTTCGTCACCTACACCACCCGAGAGGGCGCCGAGAAGGCCGCCGAGGAACTCTCCAACAAGCTCATCGTGAAGGGCCTCCGCCTCAAGCTGATGTGGGGGAAGCCGCAGGCCCCAAGAGCAGAGACCGAAGAGGGCGATGCCGCTCGTCAGCAGGGCCTCCTCACCCATGGGGGGATGCTCCCCCGGTCGGTCATATCATTGCAGCAGAGCGGCGAGCCGCTCCAGCCGCCGGGCACGCAGGACCAGCAGCAGCCCCTGAGATACTTCAACATCCCTGCACCGCCGCAGTCCGATCGGGCAGTCTACCCGTCGATGGATCCTCAGCGAATGGGGGCCGTCGTCCCTTCCCAGGAGGCCGGCGACTCCAAGGCCGCCATGGATAAGCCGCTGCCGATGCGTGCCCCGGATGGTTCGGCATACCCGTATCTGATGGCGCCGCCACCGCCGAATCTCCACTACGGGCAGTATCCCCAGTTCTACCCCCCTCCATATGGGTACATGCCTCCTCCCCCTCCAGCTTTCCAGCACCAGTACCCTTACCTGTCGATGAAGCAGCCGCCGCCTCCGGCCACCCACCAGCACTCTGCGCCGGCGGCTCCGGGGTCGTCATCTCAGAGTCAGACCTGAGGTGAGTATTGCTGCTGTGGCCATTTATATACTGGGCTACCCCAAGTCTTTCTTTCTTTCCTCCTTTCCTTTTTCAGAAATTTGATTCGGTCTGACTCTCTGTCACTCTGATTCTTGCCAGACGGCCTGGATTTCTGTCATCTACATGCAGTAAATGTGCCCAACAGATGACTGACCGACCAGCTTGGAGAGGAGCCTACTACCCCCTTCTTCCCACCCCCCTCCTTTGCGTGCATTGTGTATATCGGATGAACCCTAAATTTTTTAAGATGTTGATCAGTTTGGTCGTAATTCCCCATGTGGAAGAAGCAAACGACAGCTAGTAATTCCTTCTCATTGACAGTATATGTTCATCTCATGCCTCGGCAGTTTTGGCCACTCTTTCGGTCTTTTGTTATTTTTTAATGCTACGCCAGAATTGTTGGATGTGTACTTCTTCTATATGCATTTGAAAACTGAGGCATTCAAAAAAATTGCTTGATTTTTTTTTCTATTGATAGAAAAAATCACCTTAATCAGGCTTCTTCTTGATGGCCGCCATTTTGGGTTCCCCAGAAAAAAATATAATAAAAATAAAAATGGAGAATAGAATGATGGTTGATTGTAGGCAAAAAAAATTACGTTTTGGATTTTTTTTGCAATATATATATATATATATATATATATATATAAATTTGTCGATTGTGGGGGTGATATTCCTTGAGAGGTAAGGGTTAGAGCAAGTGATATCGTGTTTTTCAGTTCATATTGTATTATATTTTATTTTTGATGCTGCGATGTGCTTCGTGAGATCTGATCTGCTTCGACTCTCCCGCTCTCCTCAGATCGCCCAAGTTGACTCAGCCTCTGGCCGCTGATGCCCGATCCGAGAGGCCCAGGCCGATCCCCCTTAATGGGCCCGAGCAACCCATCATCGTGGTTCTGGAAATCATGCGCCAAATAGGACCCAACTGCTCCCTTCTAATGGCGATTGGGAGGCGTTTTCTATGCTCAGTTTCTGTACCAAATCCTCCCCAACACTTTCTTCTTCCCTGATAATAAGTAAGCTCTGACCCAACACAAAAAAAATGATTTTTTTTTAAATGACTGTGGAGGGGATGCGAATAATGCCCTTAAGATCCCCAATTTTTTTTTCTTTTTTAAATGATTGTGGAGGAGCTGATGAGAATAATGGCCCCCAACCAACCGAGTGTTCTTCCCCCATAGTAAGTAAGAGATATCGTGCCCACCACAAAAAATTAACTTGATTTTTTAGAAAAAAAAGTAACTGTGGGGAGATGAGAATGATGGCAAAATCATCATACTGAGAGAGGGAAAGGGCCCAGCTCTCGCATGGTTTTACACAGATTCTTTCTCCCTCCGCTTCTTCCATGAAGGGAGGCCTTGAGTTGCAGGAAGGGAATGAGGGAGGGGGTGGTTTCACTGGGTTTCCCAATTTCGGTGTGAGAAAACCAGGATGCTTGCTTTTCTATTCGACAGTCGACGACGGTGGAGATTTGGGGGGAGGGGGGGGGGGATGACGGGGCTCATCTTCCTCGGCGAGCTCCAGATCACACCTTGTCGTCGTGGAACCACCACTTCGTCTCCTTCGGCGAACGTCCGTTCCGGCAGTTCCTCACGTAGCGGTCGTCGTCTGCCGGGCGTTGCTGCGCGCAGAGGGGGGAGGGTACCATCAGATAGACAACATGGAGAGAGAGAGAGAGAGAGAGAGAGAGAGAGAGAGAGAGAGAGAGAGAGAGAGAGAGAGAGAGAGAGAGATAGGGAGAGAGAGAGAGAGATAGGAGAGAGAGAGAGAGAGAGAGATAGGGAGAGAGAGAGAGAGATAGGAGAGAGAGAGAGAGAGAGAGAGAGAGAGAGAGAGAGAGAGAGAGAGAGAGAGAGAGAGAGAGAGAGAGAGAGAGAGAGAGAGAGAGAGAGAGAGAGAGAGAGAGAGAGAGAGAGAGAGAGAGAGAGAGAGAGAGAGAGAGAGAGAGAGAGAGAGAGATAGGGGGGGAGAGAGAGGAACCTTTGAGGTGGAGCTTGATAACATGGAGAGGATGCTGATGCAGACGGAGCTCACAGTCATGGCGGGAGACCATGAGTCGTAAAGTATATCTGCCAGAGGAGGAGAGGGCAGCATGGAGAGTCCCCAATTGAGGGAAAAAAAAAAAACCATCTCAATTGAACCTCTGATCGTAAAGTATATATATATGCTGCAAATAGTACTGAAAAATACTTGAAATAAATGCTATTACATATAAAGTCAAAGCATGCTTCCATCATTAAAATATGCTGAGACACGATTCGAGTCAACTCCCCCCCTCCCCCGGAATCTGGGAGATATCAGGAGAAATCAAGAAGCCAAATCGTATGATGGGCATGCAGATATCTGCCGGATCGAACTGTTCTCATGTTTTGATCTTCTTCCGAATCCAATTTTAGAGCGAGTTACAAAATCACGGAGAGGATCGCCTCGAAGGTCAACCAAATATGCGGCGAGAGGCTCCTACTTTCCTGGAACGGCATGCACGTGAGATGAACTGTGCAACACTCACAAGGTGATGAACTCTCTGCTGAAGCAAGGGGAAAAGGAATCTTACATTCACTGACTTATACTGATCTACGTGACATTTTACCCATTATAAATAAGAATATATATATATATATAAAAGCCATGATCAGAAGTTTGTTGCTTAAGTGAAGAACAGGTGACTTGATCAGATAGTGACACCCCGTCACTGATTCAGCAGAAATTCAAGTATGGGGAAGTAAAGGTGCAATTGAAATGAAGATATTACCCGGTGGAAGATATTTTATGCCGTTTTCTAAGATATGAAAGGAGAAATGGAAGTAGTTGCTGGGTTTCTATCCATGCAGAAAATAGTTTAATCTGGAAAAATAGATGAGAAAGAGAGAAGATTCTGAAGATTTTGATGTGGAAGAATACTACGAGTACGAGTTTCATGGTTAACTACCATACACATACATGCATACGCATAGTCAGCACGTTATCGTTGACATCTTTTGAAAAACATGAAGCCACTTCCAATGTTGAGAGGAAATGGGAAAGGCTTGTCAGCAAGAAATTGGTATTAGCTCAAGAGTTGACTTCAGAATAGAAGTCAAAATACACAACGTTGACTTGTGCACATAATATTCTGAGCTATTCACAATTCTCTTATACTTTAACTGTTACCAAGGGGACTTCACAATTAATAAAGCGAGACCTGGGTACGAGCTTCAAAGCTAGTAGGTGTTGACTATTGTTGGAAGTTCTAGGTCATAAGGAAATAGTGTAATTAGTTGAGGGTGTTTTGATAAAAGTTGTGTATTGTTACTCCCTATATAATGGGGGTTTACAGTTGAATGAATCTTGAGGCGGTTTCTGCCGTTCTCCCCTCTGTCCTTCGTGACGAGGTTTTTTCTATATTTCCAACAGCTGTGCTGACTGATACTCAAGAAGTTTGGTCAAAGAGACTAGTATGTGACTGTTGGTTGACCTAGAAAACCTAAGGGGTAGAGGTGCGTGGATTTGGGCTGATGCACTGGAGGTGATACAGTGGATTGTCTTCAAGGATATAAAATCTGCTGTGACTTTTGGTCTCTCTGGATATCGAAGCCATACAACATAGGTTTGTGAGAAGATACTATATGATTATTTCTCAATATAACTGACACATTACCTTAATCTTCACAAAGTACACAATGGATTAATAACACAAAATATTTGCACACAACCAACTGACCCACCTCAGTTTGAAAGAATTCCATCTCATCTACTTCCTCGTGTTAATTCTAAGGCAAAATCTGCAGTTTGACTCTCGTTTATAAGGACTAGTTACATCTGGGGCACATGATCTTGTTCGTAAACGAGGTGCTTCTTGTTCTAATTTAAAAACCATTTTTTAAGGCCAGAAACTATACAGAATGAACAATACTAGAGTGATACATATATTCATGTATTACGAATGGGAAATCATGTGCCATATCAAATGCCATCCGCATCAATGTAGACACATATCAAACTGACAGTAACCCAAGAATCGATCATAGAACACCATTCCTAAACCTTAGGAAGAAAGATGAAACCCCTACAGAACTACATCCAACATACTACCCTGTTAACAGTCGGCTCAGTTAATTCAAAAGGAGAAACAACATAGTGAGCCATTCACACGGCGAATTAAATACAGAGAGAAGAAAGGCAATCAGTTTCACTAGAGGGCCTGCTGCTCTAGCTAATTGTCCACCCTTTCAAAGTGTGATTTCTATGTGATATATGCGAAGGGCGTATCGGTCGAAGTAGATTCTTCTTCTTTATCGAAAAACACCCTTCCCAAGCTGTACAGCTCCCTTTTAACATTACAACTGATAGCCAGGACATAATTCGTACATCCCCTATTGTTCTCTAAATTAGCCACCAATGTTTCACGCATACAAAAATTAGGATGATCACAGTGTTCTAAAACTTGGCGTTAACCATATTCAGGCTATCGAGTTCAAAAGAAACAATTCTGAGAACAGCTTGCCAAGCATTATAAGAAAGCATAGTTTTTAACAAAGAAGGAAATGCCGTTAAAGAATCAATAAACTAAATAAAAGCAAATCAGGGTCATTTAACAGCGTCTAATTTTAAACGATTTCAATTTTTTTCATGGGAGAAAACATCAAACATGTGGTACAAACATTGAGATAAGAACAGATACCAAGGAATATGAAAAAGAAAAAAAGAGCAGGGGCAACGTGTCTGAGAGAGTAGAGAGAAATTACCCAGACAAATATGCCCGTTGCTGTAAATATGTGGATGCAGAGGCGCAGGGTGAAGGAAAATAACCTGAGAAGAAATTGAAAAAGAAAAAAAATGATTCTTCATGGAATTCTTACAAGGATTGAACCACTTTCAAACAAGGAATCAGATTCTGCATTAAGTTGTAACGAAAGGTATCGGATTCATCGTTACCTGAGGGGCTTCCATGGGGTAGTGCTCGGGAAAATCAACCTGCAGCTGGTAAGTCTCTCCCGCGTACAGAGTTCCGGGAGCCCCGACCACTTCAATAACCCACCTGCACGTGTTTGCACTCCACGACGTCGACGGGACGAGATCGAAACTTGAACCAAAAGGCCAACGAATTCCAAAGACTATGCAGTACACCCAAAGATTATGCGGTACACCAACCTCTGGAGGTTATCGCTGGCCTTGTGCTTGAAACCGGAGAGAGGATTGACTTGCCACTCCACAAGCTCCTTCTGCAGCCTGTTGCACGCGATTTTGCTCAAGGTCTGCGGCAGAGAAAAAGCACAGGGGCGTTAACATCGATGATCAACCATGAAATCCGACCGAAGGGGAATTCGAAATTGCCGACTTGGAGAGAGCCCCGACCTTGCGGGAGGGGTTGGACGTGCTTGTCATCCTTCCCGAAGCAAACCCGACGGCGGACGTCCCTCCTTGCTGGGTAGGAACAAGGGCTACGAGGAGAGAGAGAAAGAGAGAGAGAGAGGAGAGCGCGTCGACCGGGGCGTCGTCCCCTCTGTAGAAGTCTACACCAAACGAAATCTTCTCTCCCCTCACCCCCCCCTGAGCCGACAGCTGTTTAAATACTTTCCGCGTTTTGCTGTTCTATACTGCCATTTTTCATAAATCTTATAAATACCCAATAATCAAAATTATATACGTATATATTCTTTATTAATTAATTACATTAATTAAGAAATATGTTTACGTATCACGTCAAACAATAGAAACGCATTAACTAGTATAGCAACCTTCCCTTTTCCAAAATAAAGGAAATATATATTAATTAATTACATTAATTAAGAAACATGTTTACTTATCATCATCAACCACTAGAAACACATTAAGTACTATAACACCCTTACTTTTTCTAAAATCTATGATACATATATTATTATTATTAGGCTAATATTTTATTTTTATCATTTGGGTACAAGACTTAGGGACTTAGTCTAACATTTTTGTGCTCTCAAGCACACAATATCCCCATCCAATGCTAATCCCCCTCTTTTCTAAGAACCTAATCTAGCTACTATATCATTAACAAGATGTCAACCATTGATGAAATTTATTCTTGGTCCTTTTTTTCAATGGTAAATGGTCCAAAATCCACACAAAATATTCCCAAAAGTGTAATTTTATTTTCATAAAATTTGAAAACTCTAATAAATAAAAAGTGTGCTCGAGGGTGATGAAGATTGATAAGTTAGTAATGTGACATAAGAAGAGGAAATGAGTAAACAAGAAGAGATCATTGTGTGCTTATTGGGTTTATAGATCCTAAGCATATGTGTATACTGATCTCTAATATTACTATAATAGGGGGGGGGGAGCGTTCACTTCTCTAATTTTCCTAATGTCTCACTTTCAAAGTTCTCTCATAATGTGTTAGAGATATTAATGCCCAATGGATGTTATGTGATGGCAAGTTTGTATGACAAATCATACAATTGTGCTTCATACACCTCCATATGCTAGTGCAAGGTAGTTGAGACTAATCACATAACACTAAATAACTAATTTCAAATTTTCTATTCCATTATTGCAATCAAAAGTTTAGATGTTCTTGTAAATTATTTTTGATCTCTTTTAAAGATGACAAGAAATAAGATTTAAACTTAGGTGCCCCCAAGGCCTTGCATATTAGTAAATTAGCTTTTTATTCTGCATAGAGCCATATTCCAATGTGTCATGCATCATACAATTATACTAAATAGTATAATTCATCATCAATAATAAAATATACTAAGTTTTTAATGTTTGATAGGTATGTACCAATAAATTAGTTCACGGTTTTGCTATAATTAGTCATATTATGAAAAAAAATAATTCACAAGTGTTGGAGTCATCTAGTAGATCTTGTTTGAGCTTGCACATGGAGGTGTAATATATGACAGCAATATATCAATTATATTACTTGACAATAAGATACCAAGTAAATCAGGTAAAAAAAAAAAGGTTCATTAGAGCAAAGCTACACTAATTAACTGGATATTGTAAGAGAAAAGGTTCAAATTTATATGAATTAGAGCTTGTTTGCCTTTTGAATCTTTTCTCTTACAATATCCAGTTAATTAGTCTACCTTTGCTCTAATTCAGATAATATTTTTTACCGGATTTACTTGGTATCTTATTGTCAAGTAATATCTTATTAGAGACAAGAGTGAAGCTTCAATAGAATCCTTGAGGGCATCTAGTATATGACTATAATATGAAATGTAGCACAATGGGGAGGTCTTCTGCTCCACACTATGGGGCAATCGACCACTTGATAATTCATCAATACTAGTTATTAACTAATTTCTCAATTAGAAGCATTCTATGTTAATAATTGAAGTATGTGTAAAGTTTAGTAAACTACAATACATAACCAAGATCATCTAACTCGAAGTAAAATTCATCTATCCTCATCTCCATTACCCTTTTATTTGAGTGCCCATACAAAACATGAATAAATGACGTTTCTTTAAACATGAGAATGTTTCACATGAAAACCCATGGATGGCTGACTTTTTTAACTTTTCTCGTGTGTATAGGTTGTACGGAGTATAAGTTGAACAGTTCTAGTTTCCTTGGGTGTACATGGATGACACTTGCAAAGGCCTTGAATTCTGTCCAAATCATCATGTTTCTTTAAAGAAAGTCACATGTTTCTTCTTGAATAATCATAATATATATATACATATATATATGGAGAGAGAGAGAGAGAGAGAGAGAGAGAGAGAGAGAGAGAGAGAGGAGTCATACCCAATAATGAGCTCATCTGTCATAAATAATCAGGATTTCTTATATGTCAATATCTACAGTATATCATCAAATTAGGAAAAACTATAGTTTTTCAAGTCTCATATCCTTGGATTTTCACCCTGCATAAAAAAAGATACTGCAAGTTATATGTGGTGTCACCTAGACCAGTCAAAATTTGCCACCTAGAAGATTGCCAAGTGAATGGGATCAATCATATCCTTGCTCCTCTCTCCTTCATCGGCCACAGCATGTTGGGCAAGCTTGGAACAAGAAAAGCAGTAGTCTGAGGTGTATATCGATTATATATCGATATATATAATCGATATAAATATAGCATCTGAGTTGTCCACAGCATGTTGGACACAGCATGTTTTACAAGCTTGCACCAGGGTGGCCACAGTTCTTCGTTTCTAGATCATATATCGATTAAAGCAGTAGTCTGAGGTGTATATAGCTATTTCCTTTTTATTATTATTTTGATGGACAAGAAAAGGTGTGTTTTAATCTGTTTCTGCAGCGAGATTAATAGATCAGACAGAAACTGGTGAGACCCTGATGGGCATCTTCCTCTTCATCTTCACGATGGGGAAGCTCACAATGGTATCTTCCTCGGCCACCCAGCTGCAGAGATTTTAAGAGTTTCAGGGGCCGAAGAGAGCTGATGGGAGGCGGCACTGAGAACATACCTGTACTTGGTAACTAAATGATGAAGGAAGATGGAAATCTCAAGCCTGGAAACCTCTTGCCCAGGGCAAAGCCTCCGCCCTCCGCCGAAAGGTGTGAACTTGCTCACGCAGATCCCATCCGCCTATGAACAACAAATATGGAGAAATAATCACGCGGGTAGTCTTAGAACCAACATTGGCCAAGATCCAGAAATTCTTTCCATCAGGGTAGTATGAAATGTCATAAATTTTTATTGCTCACCTCCCATCTCCACGGATTGAACTCATTTGGGTTTGAATAATTCTCATCGTCGAAATGCACTGAACTGAACGACGCCAATATGCACCAGTCTTTTGGAATCAGATAGCCTGCATGCATGGACCATAACAAATGCTTTCGCAGTTAAATGTCTATGAACCCTTCTCTGTCTCAGATTCCATGGCGCAATGATTTCAGTGCGAATTAAGTATTCCAAATTGAGGAAAAATATAATGGACCCAGAAGAAATATAATTTTTCTCAACGGTGCGTTGAGTTCATAATATTATTAAATCATCCATGGAAATTACCACGTTACTGTTTTATGGTGCGTTCCACATCAATACTAAGGGATATAACTCAGAAAATGAGACTACACACCATAGGATCTAACTTTGGACGTCATTTTTATATCATGATATCATGAGAGAATGGTGAAATCCAGTTACGGATAACGGTGCCAAATGCATACATGAGAAAAAAAACTACACAATCAAAGGTAAAAGCTTTCTACCGCAGTAAATTACAGGATATTAGCTAATGGTGAATACCCATCCTAACCGAATGGAGCTTGATTCAATATAACTGTGTTTTTTTATGAGTATTGAGGCAGAGTATCATGTTCAATGTGATGAATACCCTTCACATCTATGTCCCTTATGGCCCTCCTCCAGACGGCATTGACTATGTTTCCCATCCGAAGGGTTTCATTGATCACCTGAAACGGCACAAAAGAATCACAATTTTCACTAAGAAAAATTACATACAGTAATCGTTCATAATCACGAGAAAGAGCATGTGAATGTAATTACAAATTGCTCACATGATGAGTAAAAGTCAAGGACATGTAATCATCCCAAGCATATGGTTTGCCGCTATTGACTTTTTCCCTTCTCAAAGTCAAATTCTCCTCCTGCAAGTAATTAGCTTCGTCAGATCACAGTTTCATTAAATGGAAAAAATTAAATAAATTCACGCTTGGTGATCCGCTTAATGAATTCACAGGCTTCAATTCACTCATCCATTAGACGACTCTGAGTTGAATTAGCCTGCACATTTTATAAGAGCATTTATGCTATTGACGAGAGAGCGCTTACTTGGGCAAACCGAAAATATTTTACAAAGCATGAATAAAATTAAAAATATTTGATGATGTAAGTTTAATTATCTTACTACTAATAACACGCGGATCCATGGTTTATCATTGATGATGAAGAGTATAGTTTTCTTAATAATCTGATTACTAGGAGATGATCCAGAAAAGATGGCTATGCTACTGAGTGATAAAAAAGGACATATTTAAATGGCAAATATAAAGCCAATTCAGACGAAAAATCAAAATCCATCAGAATGAAGCATTTTACATACCCTTAGTTGCTTTAATGCCAGGGGGGTGTCAGTCAAGTATTTCACTGCCAGTGTCATCACCATGGGCACCGAGTGCTCCCCAGGTACCATCAGCTCTGTGATGATCGAGGATATCAAACTGATGGGCATCTCTGGCAGATAATTTGTGACGATTTCATTAATTAATACATCAACCACATCATTGGCCATGCTTGGCTCCCCTGCTTGAATCTTGTCTTCAACAATCTTATCTATTATGTTCTTAACTTTCTCCTTCGCCTGAATATGGGGGAAAATTTTTGATTGACAGCAAAAAATGATAAAAAACATCACTCAAGTAGATAAAAGACATCTAGACAAGGCAAAGAACTACTGAAAAGTTCAGCATTGGCCAGTAAAAGTGCTGTCTGAGAGCATGAATGTTACCGAGAAGAGAACACTTGCTTGGACCAGTGAGAATATTTCATAAAGTGTGATCGCCAACAAAAATATTTGGCATGATGCTGGATTAATATCAGTTGATTTCTATCAATAAAAATGACTCACAGACGTATAGTATAAAATAACCTGAAGGTGGGAATCTAATAGAAAAAAAAAAATCGAATCCCAATGAACAACTCATGAGTTCAAAATAAATCTGGATTATGCAAAACAACTCATGAAAGATTATTTGGGTGCGCTGGAGAAGTAAATTACTGAGAAACTAGTTTCAAAGTAAGATGGCTATCTTCATCATCAGTCAACAATTAAGAATGTCACGTAAAAAGCATGGTTTTGATCTTTTGGGCAGTACCTTTAGAGACTTGAATAGCCTTGTTCCAGGCAGCTTAATGGGCAGACAGATAAGACCTTGAATGAACTCATGGAACTGCTCCTTCATGAAGTTCAGATCTTCTCCAGGCCCCATGCCCATCAAAACCTTAACCAACGGTACGAATGTAATCTGGAGATTTGGCACCATACGAATCAAGGCACATATGGGCAAAAAGTTATCGATAAATAAATAAATAAATAAATAAATAAATATAAATCCTTTTTATCCGGCATTAACTTAGAACCACGTGCATCTAAAGCACCTTTTACTAAAATGATTGGAACAAATGATTGGAACAGTATATGATTCTATGGAGCTTAAAGACTGCATTACATCTTACGTGAGGGAACCCCCATAAAGACTTGAAGGTAGAACATGTGCAACTCTCACCTCATTAACACAATAATTATAAAACTTAACCTGATGATGGGGAAAGGAAATTATCCACTAATGAGGAATGAAAAACGGATATTATAACTCTGGTTGAGGGAAGTTAGTCAATAAAACATCACCAGGGAACGGGCATGCTTTTAGCTGAAATCAGATCTGATTATAGGAATCAACGTATTATAAATAAAGCGGAGTCACCACTTAAATTCGTTCATGTTTCTATAGAGAGATGCCATTGACTGCCGAAGTTCGACCAGGAGGCTAGGAGTAGGCATAAGCCGATCTCCACTGCGTTGCTTACCCACACTTCATGTCAGCGTGTCTTTATTAGGAAATGAGTGGGAAGGAGGGCCGCGCAGGAGAAGAACAGGATGAAGTCCTAGAGCCAAGAAAATATAGAGATAGAGAGCCCAAAAAAGACATACAGAGCGTCTGTGTTGATGACAGACGATCCGGATTTCCGGACGATTGGGTTTGGAGCGAACATAGGCCCAGACCAGAGAACTACGGTTTCCGAAAACGAGTTCTCAACGACATTCCCAAATTGATCTCCTCTTTTTTCAATAGTACGATGCAAAACCTTCATTTTCATCATTAAACTCGAGAGGATTCTAAATCTTTCACCACTATGAGCACCGATACATATACAGAACGATGAACCATACAGTTCTCTCCAGAGACCTGTTATTGTCCTCTCTCTCTCTCTCTCTACCCTTCGCCTCTTGCATGGCCTGTCTTCACTTGAATTTGTCCTCAACTGCCACGTTTAATCCTCATCTAAGAAGAGAGGTTGATCCTCCCTAGGCCCAGCCGACATGGATTCTTCGCAGGAAGACCCACTTGGCTCAAACAATCTCAACGAGTTGGTAGAAAACAGCAGAATTTTGTCGCTGCCAACTCAAATCAATGTGGGCGTGCGCGCGACATCGGATATAAAAGACCCAGTTGGCCATAGCGAGCAACACCACGGACGCTTTAAATTTTCTATCCGGGTGGAGGGCCCCCCGCGAGAGGGCCTATGAGAACGGCGACCACTCGCCAGCGGTGAGTGAGTAAGCCGCTGCTTACCGTCTCCCAGAATTTGGCCGTCTCACTGGTCCCCCGTCCGCTGCGGGATTTGTCGATGCATCAAGCCAAGCCCCCTCCCACATGCGCACGGGGACCCTCCCAAGTAGGGTCACCCTCTACGGGGACCCCTACAGCTCATACAGTCTCTCTCTCTCTCTCTCTCTCTCTCTCTCTCTCTCTCTCTCTCTCTACTTCCTCATATTTCCTTTGCTACCACTCTTTCTCTCACTGTAGCTCCCACCACCATATCCATCTCCCTCGCTATCGCCCCCTTCACTGTAACTCTCTCTCTCTCTCTCTCTCTACATCAGCTGGCTCTGAATATATAGAGTAATCATTGTCCCGAGGGATAGGGTTAATCATCTTTCTGGACTGTGGGTTATCTAAAGCTCTATGCTTCCTCGGAATCCCAGCTCCATCTCTCTCTCTCTCTGTCTCACGTGTACCTCACCAAACCGAGATTGAAATCAAAACCAGAAGATCATTGCCCGACAATCAATCAGCTCGATCGAAAACCAGATCGGGCCTGTCGTGGTTCAACGGATGGGGGGGCAGAGAGCTCCTCCGCCGCTTGGTAATACACATCTCAGCGAGAGAGAGAGAGAACCCCTACTACTACAGGACCGGTTCATGGTGTGACGGGTGCAACGGTAAATGCCGAGTGAGTTCATTAAATAGCGACGTCTTCATCAAGGCGACGAGGCCTGTCGAGGGCCCCTTAAAAACCCCGTCTTCATTGAATAAGTGAGAGAAAGGGCCGCCCGTATGGTCAGTTCGAGAGAGTGAGAGAGAGAGAGAGAGAAGGGAGAGTGGTGAGACACGAATCGCCGTCGGTTCTTAAGAAAGAGGTTTCCTTTGAAGTAAGAGGGGAGAGAGAGAGAGTGAAGTGAGAAGAGGCTCCGAGATCTGAGCAATACTCAAGGTTCGGATGATAGAAAGACAGGCGCAGATGATAGAATGACAGACTGATCGATAAATAGGACGTTGAGCGAGAGAGCGAGAGAGAGAGCCACCTACGACAGAAAAACAGATCGATGACCCAAAAGCGTAGAGCGAGAGCTTACGACCAAACGAGATAGATAAATAGATAGATAGATAGATAGAGAGAGAGAGAGAGAGAGAGACGTACCTTCTGGGTCTCTTCCTGGACGAAGACGGGGCCCTTTTCCGGCCAATCGGAGAGGGACTGGAGGACGGAGCGCTCAACTTCAGCGGCGGCGGCGGCCTTGGCGGCGGGGGACTTGAGGAAGCCGCTGATGAGCCCGTGGACTCGGCGGTGGAGCGCCCCCTCCGCCTTCAAGATGGAGTCTTTTCCAAGCAGCTCCGTCACCGATCGCGGGTAGCACGGTACGAAGCCCTCGCTACGCAGTACCGCCCGGTTGACCTCCGCGTCCGTTGACACCGCTACCTCCTTCCCCAGAATGTGCGTCCGGAACACCTTCCCGTACCTGCGCCGTGCACAGCGCCTCGTGGCCAGTTAGTGAGGATGGTACCATGCAAAATAGGTGGGAGAGTCTGCCACGTGGCAGCCAAGGACTGCGGGGGGCCCCAGCGCCTAGGACGGGCCACGTGGCGGCCGCGTCAGAAGATGACTAGATCTTCTGCCATGAGTGCCGTCGTGACGTGTACTTGCGAAATTCGTACGTAGATTTCGGGGCGTGGAAATAAATAACTGGTCGAAATCACAGAGAATCCAGACAGAACAGGAAAGAGAGAGAAAGAAGTCAGTGGAAGAGAGAGAGAGAGAGGATTTTGGATGGCAGTGCTCTGGGGCAACCAACGGGTCAACGTAAAGATGCGAGTTTTCCGGACACCGTGAGGAGAGAGAGAGAGAAGGGGGGGTAAAGAGAGAGATAGATAGATAGAGAGAGAGGAATTGGGAAGAGGGTCAACGTGGCCACGTGAGTTTTCCAGCGATCAGGAGAGGAGATAGAGAGTGATCGGTGATGGAAGCTTGCATGGACTTCTGACGCGAAGAGGAATTGAGAACCGAGACAGGGAAATGATTGTAGCTGATGATAAGAGAGAGAAGGAGATATATAGACAGAATGTGGAAGAGAGAGATAGGCAGACAGATTGAGGAAGAAAGAGAGAGATGTAGACAATGTGGAACCGAGAGAGATACGCAGACATATTGAGGAAGAAAGAGAGATAGATATACGCAGACAGATTGAGGAAGGAAGAGAGAGATACGCAGACAGATTGAGGAAGGAAGAGAGAGATACGCAGACAGACTGAGGAAGAAAGAGAGAGATGTAGACAATGTGGAAGCGAGAGAGATACGCAGACAGATTGAGGAAGAAAGAGAGAGGAAGTGAGAGAGAGAGGGAGGACTTACAGGTCGCGGCGCTTCTCCATGAAGCTGACAGGGCGTGAGGAGTAGCCGCAGGCGATGAACTCGAGAGTCTCGCCGATGAGCGGCCATCCCTTGCTCCCTCTCGGAATCCTCCTCCTCTCTTCCTCACCACCGGCGGCGCCACCGCTGCCGGCGACACCGGCGGCGCCGCCCCCCGCCGCCGCCTTCTTCTGGGTCCTGTTCCCCCACCGCGCCCAGCGCCACCACCCGCAGTAGGCGGCGCCGGCGAGAACCCAGAAACCCACAACGAACCAGTCGGCCCACCCCATCCTCCTCGCCCTCCTTCCGGTTCCCCTTCTGCTCCCCTATATTATACAAAAGGCTCCTCCCACTGCATTAATATAATCAAGAGAGAGAAAGTGAAAGCGAGAGATAGAGAGAGAAAAGATATGGACGATCCCATCACCGCCCACAAGCATTAATGGGATATTCTCTCTCTCTCTCTAGCCCAACTGAGATTAGTGTGATCTCCAAATGGCCAAATCAAGGAGTCAGCGACACCAGGTATCCTCTACCGGCGGACGGATAGCGTGGAGGCCGCTTTACAGGGAGAAGTTTTTGTTTACGGAATAATCTACTCTCCTTGCACGTGCTGTGTTCGCCATTTGGGAGAGAACGCGCGACGAAGATAACCCTCTCTCTCTCTCTCTTCCGTGTCTCGGCAACATTTCGGAGGAAGATGGAAGGTTGAGAGAGAGAGAAAGAGAGAGAGAGAGAGAGAGAGAGAGAGAGAGAGAGGGGGGGGAGGCTGGTTGTTAAAGAAGAAGAGGAACCGTCGGCGACGGTGAGACCTCCGTCGGTGGCTCGCCATTAAGAGAGAGAGAAGGGGGGCAGTAAATTAGATGGAAGATGAGAGAGAGAGTCGTGCTGAACTAATGAGGACAAGACGTTGCCTTTCCATGAACGTGCAGTAGTTAGTATCCTATTCTCTCTCTCTCCCTCTCTCTCAATCCTACAAACGCAAGCATGCAATAAATTATCTGAGCCGACCTACGAAACTAGGCTCGCTAGGGTTTTTATGCCCTCGTCATTTATTCGATGCATCCCTGAAGCTACGGGGTACGCGGAGACTTTTTGCATAAAAATCCTCGTAAATGTTTGAAGGTAATATTTACTGATTTTAGAGAAATATTTCTCTCTTAACCCTCATTTAAGGCGCCTCAACCAGATCGGGCCTGGGCCGTGTTTGTCCTGAATCCCCATTTGGGCCCGGTTTTCTTTATCAGATTCAAGTGCCGTTTGGATTGAGAGAAAAAACCGAATTTGCTGTCTAGAAAGCTCAAAGTTTTATCATGTGCAAGATGATAGAATACTAAGAATTCTTAGGATCCTTTGGAATTCATTGACCTAGGTGGTAGTTTAGACCTCGACTTGGTTCATTCCCTCAATTTCTGACGAAGAAATAAATAATAATATTTCTTGATTTAAAAAATTGGGACGAAAAATACACAAAACTCACCAAAAATAATTTAAGTCAATTTTTCCTAAGGTGATAAACAATATATTTTAATTTTATAATATGTACACTAATAATCAAATACTATAGTAATGCTATCTGTGTTAAAAGATTAACTTTTGTATCATTAATATAGCTTTTGGGTATGCAATAATATATGTTAAAAGAAGATAATTAATTCCAAAATTTCCATATATTTACATCAAAAAGTAAGAACCTATAGCTACCACAAAATGCCATATAAATTAATATAATACGTAAATTTTCCTTTACGGTTCTAAAGCGCTAGAAACACCAAATATATTTTGATTCCTCCTTTTTTCCATTAAATTGCCTCAACATATGCAATTTGATCTTTCTTTGTAGTAATTAGTGGAATTTATACCAATATTTTTTGGAAATTTCCTCAGTAAGAACATGAACCTAATGTTGGAATAATAATAATATCGAAGAGTTGACTTTTTTTTCAATAAAAGATAATCAGGTAGGAGCCTCTAAGTAGGGGAAACTCAACGAGTTCCTCTCCCAAATCATTTTCCCGTCATTTCCTAAGAAAAATCGCAATATTATGAAGATTATATCTGGTTCATCCTATATTAAGGCTGAATTATCATTTTTTTAGTCAATATCGCAGATACATTTGATCAGTTTCTCGGATTCATCACATCTATTTAAGAATAGTTAGCTGAGACAAAACATAGCCAAGAGGGGAATAGTAGGCTGTTCATGTGGGTCAATTTATCATTTCTAAGCTTACTTCTGCGGCCCAAACCCAAAAAAGACAAGGGGAAGAAATCAATATGATCTTTTTTTTTTCTCGGAGACATTTTTTCGATATTTTGCTGATAAAAGAGGTAGATTTAAAAAGGGAAAAAACGATGTTTTTTTTTTAATAAAAAAACTAGAGAAACGGAAGTTTCCTGCACCATGGTAGATCAAACCACTGGAATCTAAATTAATGAAGGCTGGATCTTCTAACAAGCCCAAGGGATGAAAAAAGTTAACAAAAAAATAAAAAAGAGGGGGAGATATTATTTTCTCAAGAAAAATAGCTCATGGGCCATTCAAAACCAGCTGACTGATCTTGAATCTTAAGAGAAGGAGAAATTTCTATATATATATATATATATATATATACAAGAAAACTAATGACTACAATGCCACATGACAAATTTAAAAGGGGAGATACCTCGGGCTCAGCCGGCAGCCTTCTCAGGGGAGGAGCTCAATTGACGAAGCATCACTAAGACCCTCATCACCCATGAAAGCATTCAGAGAGGCAGACAAGGAGCCTGGTTTATCACCAAGAAGAGCCGAGTAAGAGAGAAATCTGCTAGCGAGAGAGAGAGAGAGAGAGAGAGAGCGAGAGAGAGAGAGAGAGAGAGAGAGAGAGAGGGACCTTGCAAGCATTCATGACAGACTTTGAGTCTTAGAGGGGTTTTATTTACTGGCAGACGGAAAGCAATCTGAGGAAGAACAGAACCAACCAGGCCTTGCTCGCCAGCTAAATGCCTCCAGGGTCTAGCTTTTCAGAAAAGACTTCAAAGAAAACACTGGATGGCTGTCCTGCTAAACCACAAGCCGCGCATGAGTGACGGAACCCTAACTCCCACATCCCGGGAGCGACATATTCAACTCCTGGGGTTCAAAAGTTTGGCGAGTTCAGGGAGTGATTCACAAATGGTTCAACAATGGTGCTTCAGAGAAAAAGACGATTAATTTTCTTTTGTTTCCATACATCTCAAGTAATAACGACGCACTTTGATCAGTTTCCTCTCTCCTGTGCTGCCGAATATGAAAGAAGTGTTCCAGGGGGCGATGGGTGATGATTGTTTCATGGGACAAGGTTAATGTTTCGTCGATTCAACTGACGGTGGCATGAGTTTGATAGGTGGTGAAGAGAGAGAATGGGCGAATAAGTAGCTACTAGTGGAAGGAACAGAGGCCGCTATGTTACCTTGCCAGGCTCCTGGTGCAGGTATTGTCTGACCACAGTTGCTTGTCGCACCAGCCTCTCCATCAGGGAATGGCTGGGGAGGTTCGCATGGGCTTGATTGCAGTAGAAATCGTGTCACGAACAGAGAAAGAGAGAGAGAGAGAGAGAGAAACTTTCCAAGAAGGGAAAGGAAAAGGCTCAACGAATTAAACAAAGGAAGGTGAGGATCGAATGCAGGAGGACATACCGAGAATGGCCTGATTCAGATTGTCCGCCACATTCTGCTGGTGTTCAGGGCTAAGCAGATGAAACATTGGGGACTTCTCTGGTTCTTCGTAGGCCAGGAGAGCCATGAAGTCCTGCAGAAGATACATAGCTCACAGTTACCTCCATGGGTTTCAAAGTAGAACTTAGTGTGGGCATTGAACACTGGCGACTTTTCCGAACTATGGTGTTATGCAGACCCGATGCATATCTGCTCGCTGCTTTGTTCTAGACTACTTTGAAAAGTTTTGACAAAGTCGTAATGCTTCAGGTAGGTGTATCTTTGGTAGGAAGAATACCTCAAGTTTCTCTACATATTTCTGCACCTTTCCGAATGGAGTCAACATGCTCTGAGCAAACTCCAGAGCTTCTGTGCTGGTAAAAGTACCCGACATTCATCATGAGCAGCAGGCTGATAATCCCTGGGAAGAACAGTTTTAAAGTTTGCTCACCATTTCCGAGCACGGACCAACTCGACAAAATGAAGGCTCAAAAGGTCGAAATGCAAGTCCTTGTTTTGCTCCAGCAAATTAGGTGCCAACTGTTCGGTCAGTTCAATGGCCTTCAGGGCGTTCCCTTCCAATGCGAAATGGAAAATGGCTGAAGAGAAATGGATTAGCAGAAGAAAAATAACGAAAAACAGAAACTCTTCAATCTACATGCAAATGAACAGATCCTTTATTTACATTATGCAGACAGACAGAACTGATTAAATCACTAAATTTCATATCTGGAGAATGGCACAGAAATCTGCCTTAGCTATATTAGGTAACGTTCCAGAAAGGAGCCTGGAAATATACCATCATTCCACTGGCAACCTTATTGCACTGTTTCAGATTGTGTAGAAACCATTAGAAATTCAAGATGCTATCTAGCAAGGGATCATACGTTTTATGGTGGGATAAAATGCCACTGGAAGTGTTGGTCCATTTAAAAAGCCTTCTAAATTGGCACGAGTGATTTGATTGTGGAAGACTCGTCGTCAACATCGTAGCCCTCCCAAGAGCGAAAAAGCTTCCTAGAGCAAGTGGAGTGCTTGAGCATTCTCCAGGTTGAAGTGGTAAACTTTTGTTGGGTCTATGGAGGAAAGTAGAATTTTTTTCCTGTTTTTAGTGTCTAAGGATAGGAAACAGAAATCATTCTCTTGTAGAACAGTTCAAGGGAGCAAGGAATCCCAAACTCAGAGGAAATTTTTAACAAAACATAAGACTATGCCAGAAAATTGAAGTGGATCAGTTCGTCAAAAGTTCAATTTCTTTGGCATTTTCAAGGATATTACCGCAGATGACCATAAAAATATAGGGACATACGATGATATCATCAAGAAAACCCTCGAGAATATCCTCTAGAAAATAGTTTTGCAGTCTCAACCAACATGATGTTTGAATTTGAAGTTGACCGGTCCAAAATGAGAAGTATTTACAAAAAGAACTTCCTGTAAAATTTAGAAGGATGACAAAAACAAGAACCAAGACTTTGGGGCAGAATAGAACCAGATAAAATGAGCTTAGTTGGGGGGGGGGGGGAAGAGAGGAGCAGAAGTTGCCGAGTGGAATTATAAAGAGAGTGGGATCCAAGGAAGAAGGCAATGGGGAGTAATGGGAGGGTAGAGAAAAAGAAAACATGGAGTCACCGGAAATCATTGAGAAATTCAAGCGAAAGGCATGAAAAATAGGCAAAACGACGTTGCAAGGAAAATTATAAGCTCTGAAATGATAGAGACATCCCGGAACGATGTCAATGGCAGTTATGGACATCTTATCATAATCAGAGGATATCAGGAGAGCAACAGCAGCAGCTGCCAAAAGCCACTGTTTTCTGATCCTCTTTCTAATTATATTAATATTTTTGGTAAACTTTTTACAGTAGAACCAAGATATTAAGGGAGATAAAGCAGGAGCATGCCTCTGGCCTGCTGAAATTACCTCAGGCATACTGTGTCACCTAATGAAAGGGTTTACACCTCAGGAATATGACCTAAGGCGCATGACTGAATGTGATGTTCCAGAATTTCAACTTCAGTCATATTTTCATTCTATAACGATTAGATAATACGCAGGGAAATATACTCAAACGAGGAATAATGGACTATTCAATCTGGGTGTCTTGAGAGAAACAAGTAACTTATCTAACGAAAATAATAAATCCATCCTCACGGCTTAACAATAACATCCAATGATCACCCCCATCCAATTCTTACTGAAATCTGCTCAGTGATATTTCATAAGAGGGGAGGCCATTGAACGAAAATAGTAGCATCCCCAATGGTACATCGGCAAAAGAAACAGACATTCTGCAAATTATTCTTCTCATAATTTCAAAAGAAAAGCTTACACCTCTTTCTGGCTTCTCCACTCAGCACATAACAGTACGCTAAAAAATTCTTCCCAATCATATCATCATTGTGCATAAGCAGTTCATACTACCCCAATGTTCACAGAGTGGTGACTTTTACATTTAAGGTACATATAACAGGCGCTTACACTTTCGTTGATCCATATCCACAAGATAATCAGCAGGTGGTTTCATTCCGCTACAAGTGATAAACGTCTCTGCTGTCTCTTTGAAGCAGCTATGTACAAGATAAGATAGGACAATTTTGGTGACATCACTCTCGCTAATTGCCTGCCAAAAAATCCAGACTGAAATCGTTGAGTGCACCAACAAATTTTAAATCAGGTCATAAGTCAATAAGAATCAATGAAATGCATAACAGTTGAAGGTTTGACAACTACTTTAGGCCAAAAATCAGTAAATATTTGTGAACAGGGGTTACCGAAAGTACAGTTTCAAGTTAAGACTTTGGACAAAACGTAACTTGATGAAAGACTCTCCACCACATCTTTGAAGCTGGGCAAGGATTGGGTTGGAGAAGGAGTTAAGCGCAGTGGCCAGATGCAAAAGTTGGGTGCATTTAATGGCCTTTCTTCCGTATTCTTCTTCACATTCTCCTTCTCCTATTTTTTTCTTCTGTCGTCTGATAGTAAGTGGATTCTTCATTGATTCCTCTCATTCCTCCAACATCAGCCAATTTATGGCCTATTCTAAAATTTTCCATGCTTCTCCAATTTCAAGAGGGATGATAAATCCTTCTCTCAACCAGGATCCACAAATCCTTTTGGAAATTTTTTAAAAATGTAGTTCCCAAGGATGATAAATGCACTTTGCAGCAAATTCAAAGCGTTTTTATAAAGATAATAAGAAGTAATTATCTGCTGTGGCTGATGGGAAATTACTAGATCCATCCAACTAAGAGAGTTTATCGTATCCTGTAACTCGATCATCCATCGCTGTCCTTCTCTATGGAGGCGCAAATCCATACCTCTGAAGCACTACCGACGGGAAGCTAGTTTCATCATCGACGAAGAGGCCATGGAGATTACAGACAACAAAACGGACGTCTCACCATCTGAGAGAAATGATGCCTCCTTCCCTCAATCTCCACTTTCCGCAAGCAGAACCCTCTCCTCAACTTAGACGAAAAACCCACTTCCAACTCGAAATGCGGAGGAAAAAACCCTAAAGGGAGTTAAAGAGGGATGAACGGATGATCCAGCTTTCAAGACCCCGAATGGAGAAAAGAGAAACAACGGGGCTTACGATGTGCTCGTACAGACGAGGATCGAGGTCCATCATCAATCCAAACCAATCCGCTCTCCTCCTCTGGGCGTGCTAGTGGGGGCCACTCAGAGCAGAAGCAGCGTCGATGGTAAGGGCGTCCTGGCCGTCCTGCGAGAAGGACTAGGGCAGGAAGTGGCAGCTTCTCTCTTCCTCCCTCTTTCCCTCTCTCTCCCTCTCTATCTCTATCTCCCTCTCTCTTTCTCTCTCTCTCTCTCTCTCTCTCTCCTCTCAAACTCACGGAGAAACGTCACCGAAGGGTGTACCAGGCAAACAGATGAATTATGCAATTTCTCTCCACACAAATATTTATTATGTCAGAATTTACCCTGTAACATATAAAATTTTCTAACAGAGACTTCTACACAATTATTGAATCGTAGGGATACCCTTATCCTTACTGTGTGAATTAAGAGTTTCCAAAAAAACTTTTAAACAATAAATCACGAAGAATCAAAACTTTCATCATGCCAACATTCGACCCTTCTGATGAAAAAGTAATTATCAAAAATATCCGAAGAAATGATTATCAGCCATAAATAGAAAAAATCTTCAGAAGCCTATCACTTGATCCATAAAAACATGGTTTTTTCTTTCTTCACTGGAATCTATCTACATCAAGAAGACAACATCTCTTAACCTCAGGCACAACATCTTCCCAGAATGGCATATGATAGGCAACAACTCCTCAGAGCTCTGATGTTGGTGGTGGTGGAGGCGGTGGCGGTGGCGGTGGGTGAACTCACAAGCCGAGCTTCTTCGGGCGGAGATAGGTAGAGGGAGGCCGGGGGGCGCCGGGCATGGCGACCTGCTGCTGCTGGCGGGCGCGCTTCTCGCGTTCCCTCTCCCGGTCGACCTTGTCGGCCTCGGCCTGCTCGCGGCGCAGGCCCTCCATCTCCTGCTCCATGGCCGACTTCTCCTCCTTCTGCCGCCGGCGGTGCTCGATCATGGAGGTGTCCGACTCCTTGACAGAGAAGAACATCGGGCCCAGCTCCGCCAGCCAGTGCGCCTCCACGGCCGTCGCGCACTGCATGTACTCCTTGGTGGTGAGCACCAGCTCGTGGTACACCACGTGATCCGGCGTGTACCCCAGCCCGTAGAGCGCGCTGCTTGGGTGCAGGTGACACGGCGTGCCGTTGCGGCAGTTCACGTACTCGCCGACGCCCTTCAGCCTGGCGGCGTTGTGGAAGTAGGCGGAGCAGACGGCCTTCCTCACCACGTCCCAGTCCATGCCGCACGAGACCAGCGGGATCTGCAGCGTCTTCAGAATGTCCAGCAGCTGGGAGCGCACCTCGCGGGCCTTGCGGAGCCCCTTCACGTGCAAGAAGTGGTCGTTGCACCAGTCCCCCCGGTACTGGTTAACCCGCCACTGCTGGTACACGTTGAGCAAGGTGAGGTGGTCCGACTCCGGGACGAAGAACTTCTCCCGCGCGGCGTCGCTCTCCTCGGCGCGGTCCTTGGGGCGGAAGAACACCGACGGCACCGACAGCATGGAGACGATGGTGAGCACCTCGTCGGTGCACCTAAGGCGGTCCCCCATGAGCAGCATCTTCGCCAGCGGCGGGTCCAGTGGGAACTCCACCATCCGCCACCCGATCTCGGTGAGCCCGCCGACGTTGTTGAGCGCGCCGAGCACCCACAGCTGGTACATGGAGTTGAGGATGTTCTCCTGCGGCGGCGGGTCCATGAAGTCGAAGTCCAGGAGGTTGTCCACGCGGAGCGACTTGAGGAGCAGGACGACGTTGCCGAGGTTGGTGCGCTGGATCTCCGGGACCGGGTTGGGGAGCATCTCGTTGAGGTAGGCGGATTCGGTGTAGAGGCGATAGCAGGTGCCGGGGCCGGTGCGGCCCGCGCGGCCGGCGCGCTGGTCGGCGGCGGCGCGGCTGACGGGGAAGACCTGCAGGGCGTCCATGCCCATGCGGGGGTTGTAGACCTTCATCTTGCCGTAGCCAGAGTCGATGACGTAGAGTATGCCGTCGACGGTGAGGGAGGTCTCGGCGATGTTGGTGGCGACGATGCACTTGCGGGCGCCGGCGGCGGCGGGCTGGAAGATCTTGGCTTGGAGATCGGCGGGGAGCTGGGAGTAGATGGGGAGGATGGAGAGCTCGGGGACGGCGCGGGAGGAGGAGGAGACGAGCTGCTGGATGCGCTCGGCGAGGGCGTAGCAGCTGGCCTCGATCTCGTCCTGGCCGGTCATGAAGATGAGGATGTCCCCGGGAGGGGAGGTGAGGTGGATGGTCAGCGCTTGCTTCACCGCCGCCTCCACGTAGTCCTCGCATGGCGTCTGGCTGTACAGGATGTTTACTGGGAAAGTCCGCCCCGGAATGTGGAAGATCGGCACACTGCGTCGAGAGAGACAGACACAGAGGGATTGTAAACGATTTGATGCTTGATATATATATATATAGATAGATGGAGAGAGAAAGAGAAAGAGAGAGAGAGAGAGAGAGAGAGAGAGAGAGAGAGTAGGCCGGAGGGTAAGATAGTGTGTGTATGAGAGAGAGTGAGAGAGTAGGCTGGAGGGTAAGATAGAGTGTGTGTGTGTGTGTGTGTGTGAGAGAGAGAGAGAGAGAGGGATCAGAGTCACACCTCCCGAAGAAGTTTGAAAATTTCTCCGCATTCAAGGTTGCAGAGGTCACGATGAGCTTGAAATCGCGGCGCCGTGAGACAACCTTCTTCAGTATGCCAAAGAGCACATCCGTACTCAGAGATCGTTCGTGGGCTTCGTCCATGATGATGACACTGAATTTTTTTCAGAAACAAATAAACAATGAGAGATCCACACCCATTCCAAGCTTTCCTAAAGTAGGATAGAATCAGAGCTAGATGGGCATAAAAGAATCTAATAGGGCAATCTAACAAACCCTAGTCAGATCTGAAAAACTTCGACTTCCATCATCCATCAGATTGAAAAGATCTAAAGTACAGAAGATACCAAAAAAAATAAAATACTGGGAAGAGTCAGAGGGAGCATACCGGTACTTGTCGAGGTCAGCATCCTTCAACGTCTCCCTCAAGAGGACCCCGTCAGTCATGTACTGCCATTTACAAGATAAAATCAGATCATCCGAATAAGCTAAGAAATAAGAATAAATGAATTCAGGTGTGCAACTACGATTCATCCAAGAATGGTAATCAAACAAGCATCCCATCCAGATTACTGAAAACAGAAAAAAATACAAAAAATAGAACTCGAATATATGAAATTATTTGTGCAACAAATGAGGGATGGCGGTGGTGTTGGTGATTCCGTTGAAGTTCATGAATCGAATTAAAATAAGTACGAATAAATGAATTTAGGTGAGAAATTATGGTACAAGGATGCTAATCAAACAAGCATGACATCCATAGAAAGAAAAAAATAGAAATCGATTAAAGTATATATTGATCATACCTTGATTACTGTATTTGGGCTGGTGACATCCTCGAAACGAATGGCATAACCCACTTTATCCCCCAAGTCCGTCTCCATTTCTTCGCTGACACGCTTCGCCACACTCATGGCCGCCACACGCCGCGGCTGTGTGCAGCCGATGATGGCACCTTTGGTATACACATCTTCATGCAGATACTGTGTCGAGAAAGCTAGTTAGAGAAGCAGGATCATTCAAGAGTAGGCATCATCAGGCACACGGATGTTTTATTCAAGGTAAAACCTGCGTGAGCTGAGTTGTCTTCCCTGAGCCAGTTTCGCCCACCACGACAATAACTTGATTCTCTCGAACCACCTGATTCACCACGCATCCATCCTCTGTTAGAACACGAATGATGACAGATGAACTTGCACCAAATGTATTAAAAAGGCCATTGAGTTTCAGTATCAGCGGCATGATCATGCTACAGCTCCGGCTCAAAGAGAGGGGAGAAGATCATGGAAGCCGTGAAAAGCCAAATAAAGTAATTGCCCAGAGATCGACAACTCATTAGGAATTTTTTTCCTTTCCTGGCAGAATCACCAACAGCTTCAGCTCTACCTTCCCTGGAAGGCTTTTTGGGGAAATTTTTACATTCTTAAAGGCAAGTTCAGTTCACAAACACATCATACAAGCAGGAACAGCATGGACTCGGACTTGGCAGAATATATGAAAGAACAGCTGAGTACCTGCAGTAACTCCTCTCGCACAGAAAATATTGGGAGATATTGCCGCTGCTGGGACAAGGACTTTGATTTCGCAAAATCACTCACAGCTTCACCTTTTTCCTTCATATGATGAGCAAATTTTGCTTCCTCCTTGAAGTCTATTTCACCTTGGTCTCCAACTACCGCAGTATCTGCATCGATCTATCATAAACACCAGCCTCAGGATCAGAGGACTGCGGTTGGGATGCAAAGCCCCAAAAGTATTGAGCATTGGAATATAAGGGAAGAACAAACCTGCTCGGCAGTCTTCTCAACACCCAAGATGTCCCCAAGCTTTGAGCCGGCCAGCTCCCAGAACCTCTGGCGCGACTTGTTCATTGTCTGCTTCTCACGAACTTCTCTCACTAGAGCAGAGCCTTTACGCGAGATTATAGCCATGTCAGATGTTGGGTCCTTGATGGGCATGACAGGCTCTGCTTGCTTGGTGAATACCACCCTTCCATCTAGAAACGGAGGTTTTGTATCTGCCAATTCAAGAAACAGTGATGTTCAAGCTTCACACAGACCGTTAACAGAACAGCCCCTACAGAGGATAGATAGAGCTATCAAAAGAAGAAGAATCGAGCCCAACAGCAGTCACAGAAGTATAATCATGCAACAGTTGCAGAGCTTTGCAGGTCTCGGTATGAGAAAACACAAGAGAGACTGGAATAATTGGCAAGTGAGAAATTTTTGAGGGGAAAGGCAATGAACAAGTGGCGAAGTACAGGAAATCTAAGTTGAAAATCGACCAAAATTTTCTAGTAGAATTGTTTCTTTATACCCTTAGATGAGACATGAGACAATGAACCAGGTTAACTTCACTGATTTTAAGAAATGAAGAGTTGCAATCTACAATGAGGAGATCAACATAGCTGACAGATACAAACGCCAGAACAATCCAATCGCGATTAACTCAATGAATAAATTACATACCAAGAGGATCAATACGAGCAATAAAGTTTGTACAGCATAAATAATCATGGGTAAGGTCCTTTAAGGGGAATCAATTATTTCTAGCAAAATAAAAACATAAAGAAAAAAATCTACCTTTTCGCAATCGTCTCTGTAGATGGATGTTTGGCATAATTAATATTTATATTCAATCTCTGAATTCTAACAAATTTTCAGATAACACTGTGTAGGTTTTTCCTCCCTCATAATGGAGTTTACTTTATTGTTTCATGGTTTCCTTCGCAATAAAAACGATCCCTCATAAGAAAAGCCAAACATGACAAGCATTTAAAAAATATTCTTCAGTTTCCCCAACTTGACTCCAAATGCTGAGAACATTTTTTTCTTCCCCTTTTACGTTTCACATTTCATGATTTCCGACCTTCCACACAGGAGAGACACAAATATTCGGCATAGCATAACATGATTATCAATTACGATTTCTAAAGCATACCATGAACAAGAAGGATAACTTTTCGTTCATCCTCATCCTCAAAGTCCATCTGAAGCTCTGTTCCCCTCACAGCTCCCGATCTTAAGAGCTGTCTATCCTCCCACTGAGCATTGTCAGCTGTCAGTTGTGACAATTTTTTGCTCTGAGCAAGGGTCATAGGTGTTCCATCTTTCCGAGTCTGCAGCCAAAAAGAACAACACAGATGGCACTCAGGATGAGGGGAAAAGGAAACATATATAGAGAAACGCTGCCATTAACAGAAAACGCGTCATTCTGTCATGCTAATTTCCTCGCAACTAAATGTAGCAGTACCAAGCGCGCATGAACGAAGCAAAAAAAGGGAAACCAGAAGACCAGAGGGAAGTATATGTACCAGTTTCTTTGCTAATTCTGCCTCTTTCTTCTGGTATGAAGCATCATCCCCAAAAAATAATGATGAGCTATCGCTATCATTGACTGTATTGTGCTCTTCTCTATCATACCTGCAGATAAACAGGTAAAATAGAAAAGTGTGTCATTGAATCCCTATCCTTCTCAGGGAATGCACAATGCTTTCCTTTCTTTTCCAGTTTTAGTTGGACTGTTCTCCCATAAGGGATTAGTGCATTTGTCAAGTTTAATCAACCATAGGAGAGGTTTAACACACCTAAAACTCATCTTGTGGTTCAAAATCAACTAATCATGAATATTGACCAAAGGCTAAAATTAAAGGTTATACCATGCACGATCAGCATCATAGTCCATTTCTTGCTGCATTTCCTCTGATATTTCATGATTGTGCTCAGTGTACAAAGGCCTTCCATCAGCTTCAGTAACCTGCTGGGAAGAAAAACCCAAAACAAAACAGCAGATGCACAGTTAATTTTTTCCTGATTCCAACTAAAAATTATGAATCATATGCATAAACCAATGCAAACATGCCCGCAAGAAATTTTGAACTCTTTGCTCGCACACTATTAATGTCATGGACGAAAAAAAATACACAGTAATGACTTACCATTAAAAAATGAAATCAAAATAAAAAATAAAGAATAAAGACAGTAGATGATTGTGATCATAGATAGAACACATTTTATGTATCATGCTTGTACTGTGGCATGAGAGGCTTGCTTTCACAGGTATAATGGATTTCCAAAATACTCCTCTATATTCTATATTCAAGAAATTAACAATTAAAGATATATATATATATATATATATATATATAAGTGCTTCTATGTAAAATTGCCTACTAGAGGTCAGAGTTGTTCGCTGGAAAATGGGATATTCAAAGGCAGGCCAAGCTTGGAAATACCAAAAGAGTGGATAAGCAAGAAGCCCGTACCACGTGGATTCATGGCTCAATAAAGAAGTTAAAAATATAAGCACCATGGTTTGAAAAACTAATGACACTTGAGCGCCCTTGTATAAGTCGGTCTAGTTTACGTGGATTAATATACTATGCACACCAGAACAAGTCAGTCAATTTCTAGGAAGCAAGAGCAGGTTGAGACCTCAGGATAGCTGGCATTGCGTTTCAGTCTTAGCAGATTGACATCGTACGAGCTCACAATAGTTGCTCTATTCAGATTTCAATAGTTAGAATTGAAGTATCATGAATGTTGAAAATACATCCTTGCATACATATCATCTACTTCCGAACGCAAAACTAGTTTTATAGCTATCACTACTGCTATATTTTTGGATAAATAGATTAAAATCCTATAAAGATATAGGTGGATCATTTACTAAACAATATATCCTACCTAAAAACATATAGATGGATGTAACATACTCTTAATTCTGCTAAACATCTGTATACCAAAAATTGTAATTTCATTAAGTATATCATATCAAGGTTTTTCAAGGCAACCATGTATCTACTGTCAATGCAGCAAGGCAATATGCCAGGTGGTGCCTAGGTGAGGCCAAATTTTAAATATTTCACGCATTAAAGTAATGTATAAATTAATTATTTAAAAATAAAAATATATGAGTGTGTACACAATAAAAAAGATCACACAAATATAAATTCACATTAAATTATGTGTTCATAGTATTCGCATTATTCAAAACATTCTGAATTTTTGATATTGAACAATTTAAATTAGTTTTACTATTCCAATATTTTAAAATTGTAAATACATTAAATACAAAATTATTTATAATCTATACCATACTGGGCTTTCGCAAAGCACCCTAAGCACTAGTATCCACAAGAAAACATAAGTCCACATCAGAAAGCAAGGATTTGCAGAGCACTACGAGAACTCACAATTACGAGATCCTGTCCCACTACTTACTGTATTATACTCAATAGTTCGTAAGTACTAGTTGTCCTCGTAACTGAGAGATAATTATAATGATATTTTCCGACACATCATCCTCAAGAAGAAGTGGGGGGAATAAAGTCCATCTGTACTTACCACATCATACTAACTAGATGATCATACAACAACTAGAGTTGCACTTCTGCGACAATGAGGATGAGACATCTATAGATCAACTAAGAAAAGAGCACTACCACCATAAACCTGTATATTGCATAATATTTCTTGAAGAAAAGACCATAAAGTTGTAATAAATGAAGCAAAATTGCATAAACCTTTAAATACATGCTAACTGCTAGCAAAATGCGTAGCTTTACAACAGATTTTGTGTTCATATCGTCCTAGTAGAAACAAAATTTCTTTAAAAAATAAGATCAATCACTATCTTTTTAGTTCTTGACAGGTTCCAAATAGCAAATAAGGATTTAGTACCAAAACAGATGTATACATCAGAAGGGAGGATGCAGTTTCTTTGTAAGCATAACGTCAAAACACATATAACAGAGATGTTGAAGGCTATCACTGTTCCATACCACTGAGCCTACAGCTGAAAACGAGGGCTGGTGAGATCCTCGGCTTTGATGAGTGGTTGATGTCCGTTTTGAGGCACCAGAAGCACGAATTGGAGTAGGAGAAGGGGAGACGTAGTCCCATGGAGAAGCTGTAGGCGTTATCATGTATTATATAACAACTTAAGTAACATCAGATTAAAAAACATATCATAAAGAGCCTAGATATTCAAAATACCCTACCTGCAGAACGAGGAGTTCGACCCCCCAACCATGGGGAAACCAGCCGTGCATCAGGTGAGGCACCAACTAGCATTGGAGATGGAGGAAGGCGATGCTTGCCGCCTACTGACTGGCTATCTCGACGTGGAGTGTCTTCCCACTCCCACCTTCCATCATCCCAATCAGATCTAGCTGCAAATAACAACTAATTGACATCAAACTAAAATTCCAAAACAACTGCAAAGGGCCTCTTGAAGATGAA